GGAAGGGTTGCATTCCCGATGGACCCCGACGGTGCCACCCCCGCCTTTAAAAAGAAATATTAAGATACCGAGATTTGTAGATAGTATGTAGAGAGTAAGTCATAAGTCATCATAAGTCATAGTAAGTCATAGATGCATAGAGAGACAGTCATAAGTATAAGTAAGTAGTAGAGTCAGTAAGTAAGTCAGTAAGTAGTAAGTATAGTAAGTATAGCAAGTATAAGTAAGCAAGTCAAGTAAGTAAGTAAGTATAGAGATAGCATAACATAGAGTCCAGTGTCAAGTGTCAAGTAAGTTAATAAGTAGATTGAAGTAAGTAAGTAAGTAAGTCGTATATCAAGTGTAGAGTCAAGTATCATAGAGTCAAGTGTCAAGTGTAGAGAGTCAGTCATAGGGGTCAAGTAAGTAAGTAAGTATCAAGTGTAGAGTCAAGTATCAAGTGTAGAGTGTAGAGTAAGGAGTCAAGTAAGTTGATTCTATGTCTGTCATCTATGCACTCAACTGCGGCGTTCCACACGGAAGAACCCTTCGCGATGCTTTCGGGAAAAAATTCGGCCGGATCCTGGTTAGCCGCTTTTTGGTAAGCTTAACATTGGTTCATGAGGAGCTTCATGTGGAGCAAGCATGCCAAAAGATGGAACCTACCGAGAATACATCGTATTTCTCTTTCAGCTGCGACTGTTTCATGTTGTGATCCCGTCTGGAACAAACAAGCGTCCACAGCGTCCTCCTCCCGGTTGTTATAGCGCGCTTAAGTGTGCGGGATGTATGGCACAGGAACCTCGAGGTGTGCTCATGCATGGCCTGCAAGAGGCTATTGCGCATCAGTGGGGCAGCCTCCTGGAATAGTTACTCCACTTGGGAAGACAGGGCGGATGGCACGCCTATTTCTGCCGGTGGATATATGCACACGGGTCCGCGAGGCCTCTAGGACCTGTAGGAGGGCGGCTGGTGGCGCCATCGGCCAGGCGCTCTGATGGGGCTCCTTCTTTCGAAACCATCGTGCGCCTGTGCCAAGCGATGTGCAACACTAAGTGCCTCACACTACAGCAATAAGTGCTGGGCAATACAGCCTGTGCACTCTCTTGGCAAGCAAGGCCCTACACAGGTTGTGGACGCTCGGGCTTGCTGAAGGTGGTAACATGTGGGGTCAATATTGTTAGGCCATGTCTTATTTGGCGTGCTGCTCAGCAGCGGACAACGGACTGCGCGGCACATTGACGCTACCGGGTTCACTGCGCAACGCAGTGGCAACGCAGTGCCAGCCCGGGGCTGTACTTGGCTTTGCCCACTCCATGTGGACCATTGTGCAGCATTTGAGGGGACATGTTGCGGCCATTGCGTCCCGTCCTTTTTAAATATTGGAAAGCGAGGCCAGCTGCGGAACCTTAGTCGTGGGGCCACCGGGCAGCGATGCCGTGCCATGCGGGGGACGATGTTTTATTCTTTCGGAAACTAGTGAGCGTGGCACACGACGCTGCCATGATGTGGCCTTTGCGCTTATCCATGTATTTGGAAAGGTGGGCCTTTGGCCTTGTCAGTGACCTGGCTGGCTGGTGGATCATTATTACGGCCATTGCGCATCACATGTACTGCGGGGCCATGATGTGGACTGCGTGCTTGTCCACATGACGACATTATGAAAGAGAGACACTCCTCGATGCATCTCTCTCGATGTGGGCCATTGCGCATGTACTGCGGGGCCATGATTAGGCCAGTGCGCTTCTCCAATTTTTCGGAAAGCGGGGCCTTCTGAGGGGGCATAGCTGGGATCATGCGGCCATTGCGCAACATGTTGCGGGCCCTGAGCCGGGATACTCTTCTCGCGCTGAACGACTCCTGCCGGCTTAGCCTGCACGTCGCAGTGTTTCACCGCACCATCTTGTTGTACAGCTTCGTTGGTTTTTCTGATGTTGCTTATCTTCTTGTTAGGACCGAGTGCGGCAGCCGACGTCGACGAGGCTTGATCACGCCAAAAAATATTCTCAAAACACTGTATCGAAGAGAGGTGGCTCTGCAAAGCTTTGCCAGAGAACCACGACCTTCGTTGAGAAAGCAAGCTTTTCTTTGCTTTGTAAATCAGCTTTCAGACCGCTTAGAATTCAGGTTTGGGTGTTTGGAGCCTTGGTTTCGGGATTTTAAAGATTGCGGTTGGCCGCTCATTTTTTCAAAAGAACAGTTTTGCCAGTTTCTGTCATGTGAAGCATTGTTCTTGACCACAGTCCCTACTGTGGCAGAAGTCGAAAAAAAAACTGGAAGGTTTTATGTTTTTTCAACGACAAACCAAAGATGCCAGCGTCCAAAGGAACCGAGTCTTTTGGATTTGAGGCCAACGTTCGGGTTGCTTTGGACTTTCGGGTTTCGGATTCAAGGTTACTGTTACAAGGTCAAAAGTTTTGAATACTTCAGTGTTCTCATTTGTTGGAGCAGTCAGGGCTCATAGACCTGATTCTCGGTGGTTCTTTTTGCATTAAGCACGTGTAGGCCAGCATCATCGTACGGCCCGTTTCTTTGCAGGGCCGGATGGCTGCCCGTGCGAGTGGTATCGACAGTTGCCGACCGAATCAGCGACCGCCCTGGCGGCTAATTTCCGCAACATTGTCACCGGCCATGCCCCCCCCCCCCCCCCACCCAAGCACTTACCTTTATCCCCAAGGCTGATGCAGGTCATTATGCGTACAATTTTCGCTCGCTGGACATGCCTGACGAGTGCTCAGATGGCGGTCACGTCGGAGATGTCTTGGAGTCACACAAACGGCAATCAGATCCACCGCCTGGCTTTTTTGCTGCATGCCATTTTCCAAAGTGTAGATTGGCGGGTTTAGAATCCAGAAACGAATTTCGGTGTCCTGCATGATCGGCCAGTTTCCAGCAGTGGTCCGGTTGCAATGTTGCAATAGCGCGAAATCTCAGGTTCCTGTACCACATGTTCTTGAATTTTGACAACAGCATGATGGCATGGGGTAGCATTGGGCACGTCTGCTATCATTTATGTCATTGTGCCGTGTTGTGTGTGGCTCCAGCTTCGGGTCAGACTTTGGGGGGCGAAGCTTGCCGATTTGGCGTGCCGAGCTCAGTTTTGTCTTCAGTTTGAACTGTGTGGTGGTCAATGCTGTCAATCTGGCCGTTGTTCTGGAAGGTAGCCCCCCAAGTCTGACTGGCTTGCAATGGCATCGGCTCGGCGCCACGTGGCTGAATGCCAGATTGCGGACTGCAGCATGTTTCTCCCACAACAGTTCACGCCGCTACTTCCTTTTCGTGTGAATGTGTTCGCCGGAGTTTTGTCTGCCGTGTTCTTCAGCTTGTAATTATCCGTGTGAGTGGGTAAGCATTAACACGATACTCTACATGTGTGTATTCGCTGTCGCACCTGCATACTCGGACTCGGACGTGTACATTCGAATGAATTGCGAGTCGTAGATACACGTGCAATAATGAATACTGCTTGTGTGGATGCAATCTTGTCGCTTCTTGATGCCACTGTCCTCGTCGATGCGGCAAGATCGTTTGGAGTCATGTTTTGTCAGTCATGTAGGGCTTTACGCGAAATTTGCAACTGTTTGTCGCTGTTGCCGTCCATAAGGCATCGACGCGCTGTACTGCACCGCGGAGACTGCTGAAGATGTTGTCAGGCGGGACTTCGGAGACCGGTTGTAGTGACATGTTGGGAGTGTTTTGGGCCTGTACTCTCTCGTCTGTGCTGGAGAGGGGACGTTTATCCTTTTTTATTAACTTGAGACTTTTTTCGAGATGTATTGAGCAAAAGGCCATGGCTAAACTCACCGGTGATCATCCGAGGAGCGACCTAACTCTGCATGTGTGGACTATACGACTATACACATGCAGCAGGGGATGCCGTGGGCGCCTGTTGGTTCGGCGGAACGTTGCAAATGTGTGCGCTCATTGTGGAAAAGCAAGCGTCTACAGCGTCCTCCTCCCCAGACATAAAGCTCGCAGTTTGTATTGTAGATGATGAGGAGAGTTGCTTGCAGTGAGCGTAGCGCTTGCAACTGCAGTAAATCTCGAGCACTGTCCACTCCAAGCAGTTTCCTGCTTGGGGAGCTTCCCTGGCCTTGCGAAAAACAGGGGACAAGTTCGGGTGGGCCTGTGCCCCGGAAGCCCGGCAGAGAGAGAGAGGGAGAGAGAGAGCGAGCGAGTGCTTGCAGAAAGAACGAATCCGCTTTGCCGTTGTCCCTTTCTTGCGCCATTGGTTTCTGGCTGTCAGTCTCCTCCTCTCTCTCTGTATCTGTGTGCTGTGTGTCTGTGCGTCTGTTGTCTGTGTGTCTGTCTGTCTGTCTCTTTGTCTCTCTGTCCTTCTCTTTATGTTTCTCTTTCTCTCCTCTCCCACTCCGTGTCTGCTTTGTTTTGTTTTTCGGATCTTCAATATTTCCTCCCTGGCCATGCCATATCTCTGTCTCTCTCTCTCTCTCTCTCAATCTCTCGCTGTCGGTTACAATTTCTTTGTCTCGATCTCTCTTTTTCCCTCAGCCGCCTTTGGTTTTGGACGGCGGATGACTTTGCTTGCTGAAGCAACCTGGAGCTGCAGGTGTGCATTCATTCGGCGCTGGTTTGTTGTGTTCGTAGTTTGTGTCGCTCGTTTCAGGTGCGTTGTCGCAGAGACCCACAAAGAGGCTGACGACGTTCGAGACGAGGCTGTTGCCTTGTTTTGATTCGACTTTTTCCCAACGGATTCTCCGCAGTGGCGACCAATTGAGTCTACGATAATGTCGCAAGCTTTCTTGGGCGTCTATCGCATGTCACAGTTTCGACCAGTACGTCGGTGCTCGTCCATGCCCTACCGGACTCCGGACAAACTACATGATCTCGGATATTGCTTTATTTCCAGTGATGTATGGCCACGGAACCGACAGGAATGTCCATAACATCGACAGAGACCTGCAAAACGAGGAGCACTTTTCGTGAGGAGCACTCATGGTTGAAACCCAGGTGGTAGAACTTTCACTCCCTCACGTAAGTTTTGCTATTGAATTGTAGCGCACATGAACGAAGAAAGGACCGAAACTCACAGAAAGCAGTTTCGCTTGCCAGAGCCAAACAATGACGTTCTCTGGGCTGTCGAGGTGGAGGCTGCCGTTGTGGAACGGATCCAAGCGCTGCAGGCAGGCAGAGTGTCGGTCGCAGCTCCTTTTGCGTACTTCTATGCGCAGGCACGCCAGCGTGAGCTGCTGGAGCAGATTGACCAACTGGTGCAGACCAAAGTAGAGGCATCACGCTGGAATGCTCATGAAATCACTGGGCTCTATGTGCTGACAGAATCTGGAGATGCAGCTGCGGCAAATACAGAGTCGGAGCCCTGGCTTCCAAGGTTGCGATCATCAGAGATTACATGACATGGTTGTCTGTCTGAGCTGATGCTAGGTCTGCTAGGTGGGCTCTGTAGGTAAACAGCAGATGTTCGGTTGACTAGGCGGGAGCTGTCCACCTGCTCCGGCAGAAGATCGCGAGGCCGGTTGGATGGTGGGATGACTCTGAACTTGACCAACCCAACGTTGGCATGTGGAACTTCGCAGAAATCTGTATGAACGTGCAGGATCCAGATGCCCCGCCCATGGAGGGGGTCTATCTCCTCCGGGCAGACTCTGTGATCCGCTTCAGGCCACCCAGCATGCACAGAGATATGCCCGGTGTTTTCAGGGCATAGGTCGGTCATGTGCCTCCGCAAGCACATACTTGACTCAGTCAAGTATGTGCTTTGCTTGCTCCAGCTGTGGCTGAAGACGGCGGTCGCGGTGTGTGAAACTTGATTTTGTAAAGCTCTGGCCCAAGCACAAAGTGATCCCTTCTTGGTCGTTTACGCTCCCTTCCTGCTGATGCGGAGCTTCACCATCGCCGGGATCCGAGTCAACGACTGTTTCTGCTCGTGGCAGAGTTGCTGATGGCTTTGTGCCCCGGTTGTTCTTCTCGATATCGATAGTGTAAGAGCATCGTTGTATGATCCTCACGCCATGCTAATTGGCTGATTCCGAGCAGCGGACATCCACCAGTTCCATGTCGAAGTAGGCTAGGTGCTGCGATGTTCTCCTGCCAGAAGCACCCTCTCCGTGCATTGCACACGTGTGGAGTTTTGGGGGTTGAACTGCTGTAAGCGCTTCGAGGCCGTCCTTGCCATGCTGTCTGTCGGCTCTTTGGCCGATGCTCGGATGGATGTGGACTAGCAGACTAGCAAGCTCGAGATTGATCTTCTGGATCTCAGATCGCACAGTCTTTCCAAACTGGAGCCCCTCGGAGCCCAGGATGAGTCGATGCAAGCTCTAGCTGCAGATGACGAGTCTGGTTCCTTGAACTTGCTCCAGCACAAGGGAAGCGCTCAGGTGGAGGAGCCTTGACTGTTAGTTCTGAAGAAACAATCCACTTGCAGCGTGCGATTCGCGCGGTACGCAAAAAGCATGAGTTGACACGTTGCTTCGTCATTGCTGCAACAGCAGCTGTGATTTCCACTCAGGAAGAGAGTCTCGAGGCAATGACGGATCCTGAGACTGCTGTGACGATGTCCACCCCAGGACTCTGCTTACACACCTTTGCACCACAAGGGCATAAGATAGCGGGACTGAGTCCTAAGTGTAAGGTCGCCTTGAGTCTCGATGTCGCAGATCTTTGCCGAGAGGAATCGCCTTCTTGGAGGAGGGCGAAGGGCGCTTCGGGCGCTCCCGGCGAGTTAGTGCTTCCGACAGACTCAGATGCAAACACGAACCGAACCCTGCTAGGTGCGGCGTTATCTACTGTGCCTTGGCGAGCTTCGAGAAGTCTCATGCATGGAAGCCCGGCCAATATGGTTAGCGTCATTCGAAGCTTGCAGGCGCAAGCGCTGCAGGGAACAAGTGCTGCCGGGAGGCACTGAGTGCCGTCTGCTGCGGACCAGGACTGTGCAGAACTGGTGATAGCACAGGTTGCCCGGTAAGCAGTGCTCTTCAAATCCGGTCTTGAGTCAGTCGAAGTAGGACCGTGTTCATTGTTTTCGGTGCATGTAGGTTGGCCCATAGACCTGGAAAGCGCATCCTGACGGGCTGTATTGGAGCATGCAGTGATATAAAGCTGTGTGGATGCGTGGTCTGTGTCTGTTGCCAGGCGTTTTGAAAAGTCCTGTGGTACTCCCGAGAAGTCATGTGCAAGTGGCTGGGGGATGTCATCTGTTGCAGCATTCCCGTGCCTGGTACAACGGGGCGGAGCCCTACCGGACGGGATGGCTTATCTCCTTTTGATGTATCGAATTTCGTATTTGTGACGTCTGCCATGCTTGTGTACGAAGTCCTTATCATACCATACCGCATCCTGTCAAGGCAGGTCGTAAAGCCGCTAACTGGGCCCAAGCTCTGCCACCTGTGTACGCCGTAAATCTGCTTGCCAAAACATCTAGGGTTTGCTTCAGCCGTATTGGGCGAACATAATCGCTCTAAGTGCTGAGTTGTCTCACTTGTGGACTTGCTCCGAGCTATCGAGAGATCACATCAGGTCTCATCTGATCCTATCAGCTCAGATCAAAACATATCGTACTATACCATGCCATGTCCTATCACATCGTTCCAGATATTGTAAGATGTCGTATCATGCCGTATCATGCGTATTTAACCAATCACCTCTGTCGTATCACGTGGGATCTCACAGTATGACATGTCAGAGCATAGCATAGCCTTGCATTGCATACACAGCATGTCATACCATGTCAAGTCATATAGTACTATCTCGAGTCGCGTCATATCATATCAGATCGCATATCGTATATTCATATCATAGAATCATGGCCGCCGCCACCACCGCCGCCGCCGCCACCTCCGCCACCACCACACCACCAACCACCGCCTGACAACCTTGTCTGGTCTGCCGTGCATACCAACGTGTACATGCCGTCAATGACGGCCGGGGCGGCTACAACAGTCGTCCTGACACAATCTGTACGCAAGGCTTGGACTCCGAGTGAAACGAAACGAAACCAACCACCACCACCCCCACCAGCACCCCCACCACCAGCCCCTTGTAGCAGGAATTGCGTCCCCGAGGCCTTCCTTACTCTTGAGACCCTGAATCTTGTCACGGCTGCTTAGCTCAGGGTTCGTTTTCCAGCCCCCATTCAAAGGGATTCAGACCTGCAGTTTCCAGCATGTCTACTTCCAGCCAAAACATTTCAACCGACTCCGACGAATCCCAAGCGCGGTTGACAAAAACGAAGTTGTCCGGCAGTTAGGTTTGCGGTTTTAGGGCTTAATTGTCACGAGGGTTTAGGGTTTAGGGCGTAAGTGGTTTCGAGTACAGGGTTTCGTTGTTTGCGGTCTTCGGGTCAACACAGGCTTAGCACGTTGCATGCGACAGAGTTTTTATAGTGTGTTCAGAGGGATGTAAACGGCATCTTTGGACGTCCTCTTTTGCATGCGTCTGGGACCGGTTTTCGGTCCCCTACTTTCACAAGGTTGAATGGGGACCCCTGTGGAGGGGACCCCTGAAAACTGCAATTTTCCAATGGGGCCCGCCCAACGGGGTTGAATGGGAGCTAATGGGGACAAATCGGAAACCAATTAGCCCCCATTTGCAAATTGCAACCCACAGGGTTCCCCTCTACAGGGGTCCCATCTCAACCTTGTGATACTTTGTGATCATACACGTAGTTCCTGTTGCGCTGGTCCTCTGGTTGCAGTTGTTGCGGCCGAGTGTTTCTGTCACAAGTGTGCGAGATCGGCTTCCAGTACGTTCAACACGGTTCCCATTACTTCCCCACACTGCCACCGCCACCGCCACCGCCACCATGAGTCTTCATTGTTGTTGCAGCCATCCACTGGTTCGATCTGAAATGCGTTTGCAGCCTGCAGCGGTAATTAGTTAAGAGATCAAGGTTTGGTGTTCTAGCCTTTCTACATGAGGTTGGCAGTGACTGCGTGCAGGGCATCGTCTGCTTTTGGCATGTGTGCGAAAGGGGAATAAACCAAACGACATTGTGTTGTCAGTTATCTCCCACCCAAAGTTTTTTCACTCGGTGGAAACAGGGCACCGTTTTGTCCAATGTGTGTCATTGAAGGTGCATGAGCCTCGGCAAGGAGGGTGGAATCAAGATTCAGCACAATTTCAAGGCTCAGTTCGTGAATGAGTGCAATATGACGGAACGGTTTGTTTGAACCGTCATGCAAGTTATGCTGGTCACGAGTCCTTCGTGTGGTGAAGGAGATGTGGCTGATTCAGGCATTCACGAGAGCAGCAATACACATGCACACTGACGTCTACAAGCGAAAAGCACAACCCCAACTCCCTCTTGAGACCATATTGATGCGAACCAGGTTGAGGCTTTGCTAAGTCGGTGTTTGGGTTGACCGGAAGGGAAGCGAATGCAGGAGAGATGTCGCTTACTGTGGACAGCGGATGGAGCTGCAAAAAAACAACGGCGCGAGCAACGCATGCGTAGACACGAACAGCCTTTCTTGCAGGGTGGATTTCCAAGGATTTGTAAAGACCAGCGGTGATGCAAACCCCCGGTTTCATTGTTACGCAGGAAGGATGAACCGAGCGGCAATGTAAATGATCAGAACGGACATTGAGGATTCGCAAGGCATTAAATTGCCACTTCTCGCAAAGTTGGCCATTCAGTTTCTTTGTGCAGTGGCTTTGCAGTCTCCAGCCGTCCAACACGATAGTAGTCTGAGAATGAGCACGATTCGCGCAAATGCAGATGGCAGAGATCCAGGAGCCCGTTGCCACAACGGCGGCGGTCTCGCCATGTGTTCCTTGGTCCTCATTCGCATCATTCTTCTCAGTTTCCATCCGTCTTGTACCATCATTAGAATCATGTGTGGTGTTTTTTCTTACTACTACTACTACTACTACTACTACTACTACTACTACTACTACTACTAGTGCCCGTACTCGTACTAGTGCTCGTGCTGGTGCTGGTGCTCGTGCTCGTACTAGTACTAGTACCAGTACTAGTACGACGACGACTACTTCTACTACCGCTACTACGACCACTGCGACTACTTACTTGCGTAACTGCCACCAGCGCTTGTCCCGCTGGCCACTGTTTTCGATGTTTATAATATAGATTTTGAGACATGTGATATTGCTTTCGGGGTCTATGACTGCAGATATTCGGCAGTGAAGAATCGAACGCTCCCTTTCTGTGCCCATGGGTGATGAGAATAGGTTTTGCTTCGGGTACGAGCGTGCAGTCGTCGTGATTTAGTTTTCGAGAGTTGCACGGCGAAGGCATGTGAACTACATCTGCGCACTGAGAGGGAGCTGTCCTGATCTTCGCGATCTTCGTTTCAACTTGATGTCAGCTCCTCCAACAGTCAACCTTCGTAGCAGATGGAAAAAGCCGCCGTTTCATGTCAAGCGTGACATCTGCGAGACTGGCACTGCGTGATCTTCTGAGGGTCCACTCAGTTATGAAAGGGCCATACCTCGCCAATGGACCGTTGTTTGTGCAGGTACCAGTTGCATGTCTGAGTATACACGTCTAGTTTCGCGGAGGCTTGCGGAAACAGATTTCGCCAGCAAGATTCCAGAATGGGGGGAAATGGTTGACGGTCTGCACCTCAGCAACGACCTGCAGCGTCGTAGAATATGTGCAAGCTATCCGTGCGACATCAGCATCTTCTGACTCGCATTTCGAGACTTTGAGCTAAGACATTGTACGAAGCCAGAGCCTGTCAGAAGCATGGACCTTGAAAGTGTAAAACAAGGATCGACCTATGCCTCGATGAGCTTCGCGAAGGCATCCCGCGGATGAGCATTGCTTTGGCTATGAATTGGCTTTGACCCATGTTGACGATACGACACAAGACTCTGCATCAGCTTTGATTTCGGTGTGTCTGGTGTCTGGGTTGTCTGGTGTGTCATCCTGCTAGACCAGTCTGAAACCCGGCAACATTGTCAAAGTCAGGCAGGTGTTCTGTCTAGGGTGGGCGTTGAAGCGATGCAGATTCATCCGTGCCCCTGCTCATACTGGTGGCCCGTTCAGGCATATTATCCTTGCCGTAGAGAATTGCAATTTTTTCAAGACGGCCACCCCACAGCCCAACACAAAGCGACGGTCCTGCAGGGGCCCGGACTTGGCGTTCTCAAAGTTTGCTGCCTCAGCTGTGGCATTCGGTCTCATTGGTGGCATCATGACACCTGTGCGCAGGGGAGCTAGGACCAGCTAGGATCAAGCAGCTGGATGCATTTAGCCAACTTGCTCGCCACCCTGGACAAGGTGAACATGCCATCCTCTTTGTGGGTGTTTGCGCTGCTTGGTCAAAAGTTCTTGCAAGATGGCTGCTGGCCGGTTTTAGATCTAACAGAATTAGCTGGCGGAGTTGTGCGTCGAATGAGTCGACACAGACCTGGCAGCACAGAAAGGTGCGACCGCGAGGGCACGCGCCGAAGCGAAGGAGGCGCACCGGGAAGTTCCAATGGAGGGACGAGTTGAGACCATCCGAGCCTTGTTTTCGTAGTTCTAGCCTTGGAGAAGTCTTTCAGTCTTTCAGGTGAAATTATCAAGCTGCTCAGCTTTTCCTTTGTTCGTTTCCTGGTTCGTGAAGTCATTTCCACGGACACACCTACTGCATCCTTGTGCCAATACATTTCAGGCGACAGGGTGGTGGCGAACTTCTCACATCCGGAGGAGTGCGGGTCGGTGGATGTACCGATCTTGCTCTCTTGGGGTCTTCCTGTTTGACTTGTGCTATCCAGGGCAGGAGGCCAGCAGCATGTGCTATCAGTCTTGTGCATGGGCTCATGCGTCAGCCGATGTTTCTCCAACAGCGCTGATAAACCGTGTGCTGGGTCGTGTGCAGTGCATGCCGTTGCCCAAGACTGAAACGGAACATACAGTCACGCCAGGGATTGATTTGAAAGCATGCTTGTCTTCGGGTTGCGTGTGTTGTGCCAGGGCAGGCACCAAGACCTGCTTGAAGTCTGGGCACTTACGAACGGAGCTCGTCAGGAGTTCCAGGACGTTAGCGTGGAAGACACGCAGGATGGCAGGCTCAAGCAGTCATGGGCTATGTTCATTTTCTTTTGGGTCATGTCTGCAGCTCTGTGGGCTCATCTTTGAGCTATTATGCGAGTAGCTGCCAGTACGAGCAGATTAGAGCCGAAGCAGGTACAAAGTGACCTTTCTGCCATTGACGCCTGGGAGCTGCGACCTCAAAGAACATTAACGGCACTTGCTGGAGGGATGCCGAAGATGCGTCCCGTCAGAGCTTATGCAAACTGCCAAAGTTGCTCAGGCTTCAGTCTCAAGATCTCCATCGGACCGGAAGGGTCGGAGGAGGCCGCTCATCACAGCAGATCTGATGCGTGTCTGAGATCGGAAGGAACTCAGCAATTCACATGTCGAGAACTTCCTCCGCTAGAAAGTTTTTGCAACGTTCTATATGATGGCCCAAGAATGCGCGTGTCTCTTTACAGAAGTCCTGCTGCTTGTGGCGACCGACAGCCTTGTCAATAGCCGTTGCCTTTCAACTCAGTTCACTAAGGATTTGGCAGGGTGCCCCTTCATCCTGGAAGCCTTCGCCTTGGAGTAGCACATAGGGAGCCGGAGCATGCGGAGTCACTGGTGCACCAAGCAAACTCAGAGTCTAAGCCGGGGGTGTCAGATGGTCTGATATTCTGAGGTGAGGCCGCCGGCAGTGTACCACGCAATAGGGGTGGCCCTTCCGGCGCGGTTTCGTCTCCTCTGCCCAACGTGCACGCACTGGCCGGAGTGTGGAGTACGGAAGTCATGATGAGTCATGACAATTCGTGTGACCGCTTCGAGTTGCTGAAGCCGCTGTGCTAAGCTTTGCGTCATCGGCTCCAGCGATAGATGACCACCTTCTGGCCAGGAACCGGAGTCGGAGGGCAAACCGCAGCTCGGTGCGCTTGTTGCTGGAGCAGTTTCTGCTTTGGTGATGGTAACTAGGTGGTCGCAAGGACTTCATGACGGTGTATCCGTGCTGTGCCAGTTCTTGACATGGACATGTAAACAAGCACGAGGGTGCTTGCATTCACCGCCACGACTCTCCTAAAGCACGCAGTGGTGCAGGTGCAGGAATGGCAACTCTGCCTGGAATCTCAGCAGAGACACGTGCAGCGATTTATCTGGCTTTAAGGGCATTGCTTCCACTGATATGGCCTTTCTCGCTGGTGCCACCTCCGTGTTATCTGCTCGAGCTCCAACGATTGTAAGTTTAGCGATGAAACTGTTCCAAGGTCTTGGCGAGACGGACGCTTCTCAGACTGGACGGTGCAGGTTCGCAGTTTTTTCGTTGTCCGCAAGAAGCGATCTCGGTCCCCGATAGTGCACCACAGCATGGGAAGGTAGTCAGGTAGTCACCTAGCAGCCGCTCAGCATTTTTCGAGACCGTAGCAGTGTGGTGCCAGAGGTCGGCGAGAAGACCTACCACTTGCACGCCTTCCTGCTGGCACTTGCACTCAGCTCTTCAACCTCAGGGAAGTGCCTGGGGCAAGTGCGAGAAGGCCCAGGCTGAAAAGAGATCTTCTGTTAAACTCAGAGAACTCCGGCGAGTTCGTCAGCAACTGGAGACATTTGGCCTGAGGCTCGTGCCTCGCTATTCTTTGAAAGCCACATGAGCCTGATCCTCAGCGAATGCAGCCCTTTGACTGAGGAGCCATGCATCCATGAAACTCTAGGAAGCTTTTTGCCGCCCCTCCGAAGTCCTTTTTGGGGACCTGCGAGTTTGGCGAAAGCCGAAAGCCAGGAGCCCCTGCCTGCCGAGGCATGGCCTCCCGGGCCGAGTCCGAGAAGGCCAAGGGCAGCGACCTGAGCGAGGCCGGGCTTCGGCCGACGGGCCGAGAGACCTTCTGTGAAATTGGTGGTATTCGTATTGTTCTTGTTAAACCTTTATTATTAGGAGTGTTAATATTATTGGTATTGGTATTATTATTGGTGTTATTCTCTTATAGTGTTGCGTTATTATAGGGCCGAGAGAAGAGAAGAAGACTGCTCTCTGCTTCCTGCTTTCGTACTGTAGTGGTCAGTGGAAGACTCCTTGAATTCTCACACTGGCACCTGAGTGGGTGGCTATGCATAGCTTGCCAGCCACATTCCTGGTTTATAGTTGAGTTGGCGGGCTCGTTCGCTGACCCGATCTGATGGTTAGCTTTTTTGGTCGACCGGTCTTTTGCCTCAGCCACAGCTGACATGTCAGCTCTCACGCTGCAGGTGCTGCCCCAGTCGTGCCACGCAGCCTTTGAGGACGCTTCGGCTTCATGCGTGCAACCAGTTTTGCGGAGTTTGCACCCAGGCAGTAGCTGGATCACAAGCCGAGCACAGCATGTTTCGGATTCTAATCGCTGGGCGCTTTCATGTTGAGGATGCCCTCGATTTCATGTACTCGGAGAACCAAGCAGCCTTTGAGGCGCCTGCGTCAAAGGCAGGGCCAAGCGCAGAGATGCCTTCGCACTTTGCTGACTTCTGAAAGTGTCGCTTGCTTGAGGCGCTGCTCCTTCTCAAAATTGCAGACATCCTTGGCATCAACAGTCTCTTCGACGCGATGGGCCGGCGGATCGAGGCAGCAGCTCCTATCTTTGCGCAGTTGGCAAGATAATTTTGAACCACACCAGACGAGTGCACGCTGGACTGATGTCGACTGGCTCCTCTGGCCTCGCACTGCGAGTCAAACAAACACCCGCGACTTGCGCACTGACACGCGCCAGCGCTGTTCGAGTATTGCAGCTTCCAGCACCAACCCGATTCAAGCACCTGCGCACTCGACGTGCCAGGGTGTGTCGGGCTTGGGAGGGGGGTTGAGGGACCCAGTGATGTAGGGTCTGGGGCTTCAGGCAAGCAGAGCCAATTGTTTGAAGAATTTTTGGGGTTTGGTGTTTCAGATTTAGAATTTGAAGGTTTAACATATATATATATATATGTTTAGGGTTGCTTGGACGGTATGGCTTGTTCAGCACATCAATCCTCGAAGTAGTTGGCAACCTCGCCTTATCCAACGTAGTGGTCGTAGTTGCTTTTTGAAGCTTAAGTAAGACAAAAGCTTACAGAGATGGTTATAGGGCTTCACAGGCTTGTGTGTTGCTTTGACGTTCTTTCGGCTTGAGGCAAATCTATTCCCGGACCCGTTGATTCAGCCGGACTGCTGAGCGCCAGCTCCGGTGGGTGCACGAATCCACGGTGTGCGAATGCTCCACCCTCTTACGTGGTCCAGACAGAAGACCAGAAGACAAAGGCAGAAGGAAGAAAGAAAAGACACAACGAACGGATGACATCACGAAACAAAGCAATTTGATGAACGCACTGCAGAAAGAAGCAACTAACGTAGCAAATAAATCCGGAGCAAGAGTGAACTACATAAGAGAGAATGATGAAATTGTGAAAGAAGAACAAACGAAATAAATATAAGGAACGAACGAAGTACGCAAAGAGCCAAGGAATAAACAAAGAGCGAAAAGCGACCCGAACTAAATGAACAAAGAACGAAAGCGATAAAGAAAGAGCCAACGAGCGACATAACGAGCCAACTACAGAAAGAGTTACATAAATCAAGAGATGCGGAAACAAGAATATGCTCACTGATGCAACAACTACAGATGGCAAAGAAATAAATGAAGATATAACGAAGTAGATTAACGACGAATGGCGTAAAGACCCTAAATAAAGAAACTCACAAGTGAGTGAAGAACGAAACAGATGGGAACAACCAAACACCGAAATGCATGAGTACATAAAGACAGAGACCACCCAACACATAAGTACAGACATACAGACGTCAAAGGACGAAATCACGAGTAAACTTCCCAATGACATGAAACAATAGCGCACTAAATATGTAAGTAACTAGAGAAAGGAAAGATCGCACTACATAACCAAAGCAATGAACTACTAACGAAACAGACATACAAATACAGAAAGAACGACAGAAACAAACATACAGCAAGCACCACGAGGACTAAAGGAACATCACGACTTGTTTTGGGTCCTGAAACTACAGGTTTTGGACGATGTGGAGGTTGCGACCGGAGACCTTCCAACACCGAAAACATGTCTGAGAGTTGAAACTCGAATGCTCTCCGTTCCCCGTGCTTGTACAAGGATGACCTATGCCTTCAAAGGGTTTTTGGAGTAACAAGATCTTGCAAATTAGAGCTCTCCAATCACTCGATGCACTGCGAGATTCTGCCACGAAAATGCCTTAAGGATCGTAACAACCCTTTGAAGGCCTGGGTTCCGGCAAAACACAGAGAACGCAGCGAAGAAATCGAGTTTCAACTCTCAGAAATGCTTTGAGAGGGTCGCCGATCGCAACCTCGACATGGACGCCCGAGCCCCCTGCCCCCGAACTCCAACAATCTCTGTGAGCGCATCGGCAGGCTGCCTTTGCCGATACGGCGCCTCTCCTCCTGGAGCAGTACTGCCGTTTTCACATTCCCGGCACGGACGACGGCGAGAGCCCCAGGGTCCAGGCCGTGGGGTGGGGGCAGTCTATCCGTAGTGTGACCGTTCCTGCGCCGAAAGGGACTGCAAGGCATCATCCGGGCATCGGATCCATCCCGCCAGGCAATCTTAGGACCCAACATTGGCCGATGCGCCAGTAGGTCTCTGTGCTTTAGGCATTTGCCCCGAGTCTGACCTCGTGCCGGTGCTTAGGCGCCGCTCTCCGCCAGATCCGTGATGGTGCAGTCGATCTGATCGTCAAAAAGTGGCCGCGCTCGGTGTGTCTGTGTACCTAAGTCTAGGTCACGCTGCAGAAGTGTTGCAGAATTGCCTTCTTCCTGCGTTCGAGTTGCACACTAACATCAGAGCCGTCTTCAGGTTTCAGCCTTTTGTGACGAACAGCGACATGAAGACGGCTTTGTTGCCATTCGCCCCAGTCTGTGTCGGAGAAAGGTAGCGCAGGGCGGTTCTGCATGGCCATGCATTGTCCTTCCTCAAAAGTTTTCGGAGGAAGACCATGTGTTCTTCGTTCAGTTTCCGGTCATGCCAAGGCGTCTTCCTGCACGAGTCCTGGCCGAGATCTTGGATGCTGACGAGCTTCTGGTTGAGAGCGAGGAGACGGGTTTGCCATTGCTGAGCTGTTGTTTCAATGACTGGCTTCGTGCACCGCCGTTCTAAAGGATGCGGTCTATGACTTTGTTTTGGATCGTCTTCAGCTGGGGGAGTCCACGGACTTGGAGGGAGCATCGTCCAGCAGGGCTCTCAGGCACTGGGCTTTTCCACCAGAGTGAACCAGCCCCGGAGCCGGCCCCCGAACCTGCTCCGCCGTGGCCAAGAACGTCCTATCGCCGGGTGTTTCGGGCAGTTTCAGCTGCAGGACAAGAGCAGTTCTTCACCACACAGGGTCTGAAGTGCACTCCCTCCAAAGTGGTGCAGCTTTGGTCGGCTGCCTCAACCAAACCATCAGCGCTGTGCAGCCATGCCGCAAGCTCTCTCTGGAGTGGGCGGCTTGAACATCCCGTCCAGACCCTCCAGCCGAAAGGCCCGAAACCTCAAAGAGATGCTGCCGCTACATGCAACAAGCTGAGGCCATGGTCCTGAGTCCCGTTCCGAGCCTCTGGAGACAGGGAAGGCAGGGTCCGGTGCAGCGTGGCGTCTGGCAGAGACTGAACCACGCCAGGGCCAACATGGGACAACAACATCTTCATTTCATGCGTAGAGTATGCTGCCCCTCGACGGGGGTGGCTGGAGGGGAGTTGCGAGCTTGCATGACCACGGAGGAAGGAATGCAACTTGCACGGGGGAATCAGGCGGTCCGAAGCGGAACTGAGAGTCGCTGACAGGGACATCCGAGTGCGAGGAGAGTTGTGGCCAGTTCCCGTCATCACGTCCGCAGGCAAGCACTTCGCGCTTGGACTATATGGATGAGAGTGACGAGGAGGCACGATGGTATCGTATGCGCACTGTAAACTGGAGGGCTCTCTGCACATCTGAGTGTTCGCCACCAGCGCAGACCTACGCGCACAGCAGGGTGATCCGATGGAAGCAACCGAGGCCCTCTGGGACGAAGTGCGGTGGGCCTATCTCAGCTCCCGGAAGTTCGCCCAGGTGACTATCTTGCGAAGTGCACAGTTTTCGGTCCCGTATCTCCAACAGAGACTGCACAGCAGCGATACACGAACAGACTGTCTTCTGCTTGCGCTTTTGAGATGGTTGGCATTCTCATCGAACATAAGCATCATGCTATAGCTACTTCATGAATTGCCATCTTGTCAGCTCACCAGGCCCTGGCGCTGCACAAGACCCTTTTGAAGCCACAGGCCAGGTCTTGTTCCGTCTCTTTTGCAAGACTCCAGGGCCTCTCACCCCTCCGGGAGCTCTTTAACTTGCCGCGAGGTCACCCTTCGTGCGCTGACTGCCGCAACCTTGGTGACGGGGTTGTGCCAAAGAGAGCAGGGGTCAGAGGATATGGGTCCGGTAGCCACTGGGCCTACTTCATCCTACTTCGCATCTCCGGGGTGGACATTGAAGGTAGATCAGACTCTCAGGCTCGGGCTGCGCGCTTCGATCTCGGAGGCATCGGCCGGCGAGTCCCGTTCTACCTCGCTGGATCAGCGGGACGATGAGAAGCGCATGTGAAGAGCGTCGGAAGTTAAGTTGCTCCCTGCCTCCAACCGAAGCTCGTCGAGCACAACACGGCAGGTGCAGAGGCTTTTGCCACTCTCGGCTACCAGGCTGTCGTGGGGTGCTCAGTTTGGGTAGGCTCTCGTGAGTAAAGCATTGCCGCTTCTCTTTGACTCTGACTCTCGCACTGGCGGGTTCCAGGTGCCCAGGAAGCCGATCTTGCCTCCCGGGGTGCCGCAGTCTCAGTCCAACAAAGCAGCCGAAGTTTGGCATTACCTCTTTTGAACGCCGCTTGCGGCAGCCTGAGGCCACCACCAAGCTCAACGGAAATCGACTTCTGCTTTCACTACGCGCACTCTGCAACTTGCCGAGCAAGAGTGCCAATTTCCTGAAGGGGGTGTAGGGAAGGCATGGTAGTTGGTGGTGGCAGGGCTGCCGAGCAGCCGAAGCCGCCCGATTTATTCAAAGGTACAGAATCAGGTCACTAGGGCTTCAAGCGCAAAGACAGCACATCAAACGTGCATTGGGCAAAGCAGGGACTCTGTTGCCGTATCAAGTTTCCAGGACCTTCGTGTCAAACTTGATCATAGGGAAGTCTCAGACCTGGAGCCACCTCCCTTCAACTTGGGCCAAGGAGCAGTACGCGTGCGGGCAGGCACTCGCCACTGTCTGACAATACCAAACTTTGTTCTTGGATGCTCCTGGTGCCATCCGGCATTCCGCTGCAGGCGCTTCGTTCGCAGCCAAAGCGTATCGGCGACGTCGTCCTGCGGGTCGCAGGGGAGCTGCAGAAACGGGAGATGTGCGAACTGAGTAGCATCAGCTTCCCATTTTCCCATGGCATCTGTCACGCAGCGCAGCACACACTTGTTTAGCCTGCGTATGCAGAGTAGAGGGGCGCTGTGGGTCCTACCACCAGTCCAGTCTAACGTTTGGTCGCATGCTCCATACAGGTAGCTAAGAGTGTCTCTCATGTTTCCTCTTACGTTATATCTTTTGCCGGTGTTTTTCATATCTTCTCTGGTAAGTCTTTTCTACGTGGCCGGCAGGTTCTTGTCTTCCCGGCCGGCACTGATACCGGTGTCGCCAGGCTCGAATGCCTAGTGACTGGTGCATCGATGGAATCTCACAGCACCAAGAAAGATCGTGCGAGTACTTCCGCTTCACAGACACTTGCCAGGGGGTCCCTCTCGGTCTTCCTTGAGGCACTCCCGTCGTCCGCGTTGGAGAACTGGGTATTAGAGCACTGTGAGTTGAATGGAGGGACAGGCCTGAGCGAGAGGTTGACTTGCGGCGATGAACAGTCAACCCAAACTGAACGTGTTCTATTGAGCCCGCTGTACCAGCTTGCAGCTGATATGCCAGATTTCCAGGACATGCCTAGCATTGTCGATCTACTCACAAGTTACCCAGCACTGAGCGAATGTGACCGGCCGTTTCCGTTGCAAGTTCTCCGTGTGTGAGGCTGTGCCTCAACCACATTGGCCTCGCGATTGGGAGTTTGCCAACATAAGGTGTGGTGCAGTCATGCAAGACTCCTGCGTACCATTATGCCTTGCAGTTTTTTTGCGCGACAGGTATGGCATTGCTTGCATGAAGTGGCCCTCAGGCCGGTCGAGATTGGGGCAGGAAACTCCTGTTGCTTGGGGAAATTGGCATACGCTAGCTCGGGCACTCGAAGCTTCGGTTCTCTTCCTTGCCCATTCAGAAGTATCTTCGGGGGCGAGGCAGTGGCGAGACCTGCCCCGCTCCAAAGAAGAAGAGCGACCTCTGGACCTTCAAGGCGAGGCAGCGGCTCGCACTTTTTATACACGTCCTTATGGTTGGAAAGAGGTTCTTGGAGATAGTTTGCCTCGCTTCGTGCGGCCCAAATCACCACCAGCTCAAGCGTAGAGCGCGGCCGTGACGAAGCAAGCGAGTCCAATTCCGTTTGTGGTTGTTTTTCGCCCTCATCGTCTTTGTGCCGGGCGGATGACGATAAGCGCGGAGCTTGCTCCCCTGGTGTTCTTGTGGTGGTCGAATCGCAGGGCTTCCTTCGTGCATAGCGGCTTGCTCCGCTCTTGCCGGGGCACCTATGGCGACCACTGCTCGACGGTGTGAGATCCAATCGCAATGGCGAGGGCTGGGAAGCGCACACATGTGCCGTGGTGCTGCACCTGTACCCAACCGGGTGTAACACACGCTTCCAACTCCTCTCAATGTGGACTTGATGTCCCGCTCGAAGCTGCTCCTGGCGGGCCGTCGGGCATCTTTGCGGTTGTCTTGGCAGCTGTTTTGGCCAGTTGGATGTTTACATCGTCGTGTAGGCTTGTCGATCCTGCCGTCCAGCCGAGACTTAGCATGGTTCAGTCAGTTCATTCCGCGGCCTTGAAATCGTTCAACGTTTACATCACCGAGTCGTAAGCTGTCGACAAATTTTCTCGGCTTCCTCCATGTCCTCACGAGCTCCTAGAACCTGTTAGCTTGGACTGTCAGGCCAACCGACTTGATCGCGGCTGGCATGATTTCCTTGCACCTGGAGAGATTCATCGGTTCCTGGGTACTGGACTGAGCTCATAGTGTTCTCGGATGGATCGTGCTGCCATGCTACGGCAGCAACTCTCACTCCATTTTGGCTGGCAGTGTCCTCACGGCACATTCGGTTGATCTGCGAAGCTTCGTGCCATGTGCAAAGAGTCTTTTCTATCTCGCGATAGAACTGCTTTCCAGTGCAAGCTGAGCCAAACAGAGGTTGATCAGTTTGACCGCCGAGGCCCGGATGGCTTTGTTTGCATCCGCGGCTCGCTGGAGCAGGAGTGCTTAGGCTCGACGCCTGAGATTTGGGGCTGGGTGGGATCAAGCAGCTGTCCAAGTGCGATCCTGTTGCCAAGGTCGTGCATTCCTGCTGAATGCGCAAAGTGGACACAGTGGCTATTCAGGCTCGCATATTCGTGCCGTGCCTCACCAGTTACCGTAGCACGCGGCATAGATTTGGACGGACGGCTTAACTGAGACCAGGAAGCTGCATTACTTGTTTTGTGCCTTGTACACATTATGCTCCTTTGTAATGGCATTTCTACCTTCTGGCATTTTGCTCCGTCGAAGACATCTCTGATGCTGCCTTCTTTTCTCATTGAGTCCTGCGTTCTCGCCTGTTACGCATCCCTGTGTCTCTTCAGCAGGGCAGCCTGGCACTTGCTGCGTGTATGTTCCAAGTCTACCGTTTCCCAAGAGCTTCGCGAAGTGTTTTTTTGTGGAGGTGGTTTGGGTTTTTGGATGGCATGTCGTAAGGTTGCAAGGCATGATGTGAGGTCAGGTTCGCCCTCAGGTCTTCGCGTCGTAGTCATAGTCCGATTTAGTATCTTTTGAGGCTCGGCAGGGCCAACGGGAGTTGCTCCACATCGGAAACTGGCGCTGCGCGTGGTTCCGTGACGATGCATTCTCGGATTTGGTAACCCCTCTCCGGGCGAGCCAGTGTAAATTCCAACGCATGGGCCGCATAGGCCTCGAAATTGGTGAGGTCACGTACTTGAATCCAAAAGTACATGGGAAAGAAATTTGACCGTGCGCATGAAACCCAACTGAATCCCAGCAGTACATTTAAAAAAGTATGATGGTTACGCGAAATCGAGGTTTGTGCTGGGTGCCCTGACGATTCCTGCTAGGTGCTGTCTCTGAATCGTGCCAGTGCATGGGGGAAACATTTGGCCATGCTCGTGAATCCGGCCAGTACACGGAAGTAAGTGTGTTGGCGCAAATCGCGCCGTGCGGGTGGTGCCGCGACGATTCGTGTTCGGGATTGACACACTCTGGGTGTTGCCGGCGTCAGAACCACTCACGGTCCCCCCGCACTTTTTTACACTAGTCCCAGAATCTTCAACTTAGTTTTCACAGGAACGGGTACTGTAAGTCCGTGTTGTCGTGCAGGTGCACCCGGTGATGCTGCTGGATCTTCCGCATGTCGCCGACCGTGGGTGTCAGGATCTCGGGGGCTGAGAGTGCGGAGGTTGGGCGCCGGTGACTCCAATGCTGAGCCGCGCTGCCTCGGCTGTTACTTAGCTGAGAGCCTGCTTCTCTGCTGGATTAGCAGCTGCTTGACTATTCTGTGGCCCCTGCTGGCGTCAGTCTTGTTTTTCTTAGCCCATGAAGCATATGTGCCCTAGATCTCCAAGGCGGAAGCAAGTCTCAAAGTGCAGCTTTCGAAGAGTCAGGCCACGGGTCGCCATGGCTGCCAACGAGCGGTCGGAATGACATGCCTGGGCCCAACTGCTTTGCGACGGAAAGCTGCTGTGCCGATCATTCCCTCGTGTTCCAGGAGTTGGCTTCATCTCGCCCTCAACTGAAGCGTTGGGTTGGGCAAACCGTCGCTGTACTGTTTGGGTTTCCTCGTGGGAATGCAGATCTGGCCTTTCGGCGATTTGTCCAATTAGTCGCAGAACGTCCGTGTCACCATGCATGGAGGAAGAGAAGTTCTTTATCTAAACGTCTACATCGTCAAAAATTCGGACAACCTGGTGTTTTTTTTTTTGCGATTTGTCACGGAGTACATGGGTGGGTCCGCATCAAAACTAGGACTAAAGGCACAAAGGCCGAACACCTCAGGGGCCATGTTTCTCGGCCTACTCCCGACCAGAGTTGAGGCAAATGGTGTGTCTGTTTCAGAGTGAGGGAGGGGACTGGACTGGATATCCTCAAATCTTCAGAGCGTTGTGTAACCGAACCGCTTTCAACCCTTCCCGGCCCGAAGCCCCTTTTGCAGCAACGTCACATCTCCTTCCGGGCCAACCGGCCCGGGCCCTGGCCCGGGTTTTTTCGGGCTCGGCCCCGGGCTCCTCTGGGCACAACATGGCTTGGCCACCGTCCTTGATAATTTTTTTGTTACTTTTGCTGCTGTTGTCTTCCAATTCGTATTGCACCCGATTTTCAAAAAAGGAGCCACCATCGTTCGTAGGTAGCCATCTCTCCCTCCACAAGGACTCCACCATAGTTGCATCTTCAGGCTGCATTTATAGCTCGTAGGATTGCCATCTTAGTGGCGATCACAGGAATGCTGCCAAGCGCCAGGACAGCGAATGACAGGTCTTCAACATCTGTTGGATTGCGTGGAGCCTTCACATTCTGCCTCTGAGTCCATAGCACAGTAGCCATAAGCAGTGTACGAGCAATGACAGCATTCCTCGCTTTCACGCGAATGCACCGTGCAGCTGGACAGTTTCCAAGCAGAAGAGCTTGGTGCCATGGCACAGATGCGAAATGCAGCCACATGCCACATGCCCGCAATGTTGCATTCAAATTCAGGTCTCTGCTGCATTTTGACGGAAGTTGTGCTAGTTGGGAGTCGATCTTGCACCGCAGCTCAAACGAAGAGTGGCCCATGCAGTCGATTCAACGAACAAGCTGGAGGTGACCTGGAACCTTCAAGCAACGAGTCCAAGCTTGCGACGAAGCACATCCACTACGGATGAACATGATTGTGTCCTTGACCGCGGCGGCGCCATGGAACCCACAGGGCTCTTCTGTGCGATGGCGAGATAGCCTCGTGAGCCGCTGAAAGCGGCCGCCACCTTAGAGGATAGGGCCCGGAGTGTGTTCTCCTGCCTTGGCGAGTTCATCCTGCCGCTTCCGACGCCTCAGCACGCCACTCCTCTTGACATTGCCGTCTGGGAACGGAGACAGCTCGCGGCGATGCGAGTTGTAGCCGACATCTTAAGTGATACTGAAAGGTGGTGCAGTGAGGTCATTGATCACTCGCGGACAGCTCGTGTTTTGCGATTGTATTTAGGCGGCATGAGCCGTGCCTTCCCCATGAGCCCTTGTCGTGTCATCGTGTCATCGTGACCTGCACTCCCGGCTCTTTTGGAAGTCAAGGCCTGATCCGCTGGCATGTCGCTGCAGGCCTTTCGCTGCAAAGCATAAGGGTTCAGCCCAGTCGAGAGTCCGGATGCTACCAGCTCTGTCCATCTCTGAGGTTATACGTCAGTCTAGTAGGTCCGAAGACCTTGGAAGTCAAGCCTGCTGAACTTTACTGTTTCCATCTGGCTGAATTGCGCATTGCACCCAGATCAAGAGCCAGGCACCGGCCCGGGTCGCTGTAGCGACGACTGAAAGGCCATGCTTCTGGGAAGGGTTCAGATGTGGCTTCGTAGTTTTGGTTTCTGCGCACTGTGGTTTTGGGCAGCCTACAGCCAACCCCATTTTGCTCGTCTTGCAAATATATATGAGTAGACATAGCAAGAAGGAGCAGCTAGAGTGAAGAAGTCTGGCACGGATGTACTTTGCCAGCAAGACTCTTCCCATCTGCTTCATTTGTCACGAATGTTGTTGTTCAAAATTACGTTCTGATGGCCTGGTCCTGACAGATGAGGAGCAACCAACACTCAGGTGGGTGACCCGACGGAGGCAAAACCTAGCCACGAACGGGGCAAGGACAAAGCCATGAGTGTCAATCGCAACAACGGGCAACATGTGAGCAAGAGCACGTGGCTACTTCTGCAAGATCCCCTCCAGCTTGACCGAAGTAATTAGTGTGGACTTGATCATGTGCGGGACTGGTGAGACTGTCGAATCCTGCCAGTGATGCAGCTCAGAGCCAGCAGATCCAGGAGATTGCCTCCGAGGCGGCTTGGGTCAGGGCCTGTAGTGCACTGTCAGGCAGAGACCCGTGGCCGGTTGTGTTTTTATGCTACACTTGCTTTTTCTTACGCTTGACCGGGGTTTTCTTTATGCTGTGACTCCTTCCTTTGTGCTGACCAAGGCTTCTTTTTATGCCCCCTCCCCCAGGGGGTGCCCAGCCTTTTCCTTTTAGTAGTATCGTAAGCAACAGCAGCGGCAGCAGTGTCGTTGTCATCGTTTAGGGGTAGTAACAGCAACACCCGTAGCGGCCGAGACCCTGAGCTTTTGCGGCCGAGGTTTCGAGGCGGAGGTTTTTTTTCCTAAGTCTGGCAAATCAAACTGGCCTAGGAAGAGTTGCGACCAAGCAAGAGCTCCAAGCATCAGAGGAATGACCGGAATCACTTCAACCGTCAACCGGATTGTTCAGATGTCCTGCACTAAGTCCATTCCAGCCAGCAGCTGGCGCTCGAGAACACAAAAACAAGTCTCCCAAGATTAAGTGCCGTAACGGGGTATAGCATAAGAAAATAATCGGTGTCCAGTTGATGTGGCTGATGAGGTTACAGGGTCGCCGAATCTCTTTTTGCTTCCGAGTCGTGATCCTCGCGCGAGGATGTCTCAAGTAGCCGGCAGGTTCTGCGGCTGCGGCTGGTCCAATCGCAGTACAAGCAGTTGGAGGCACACGCCGTGGCTTTGCTGACGAATCCAAAAGAGTCTGCCAGCTTGAGTGGCATGCTGAAGTATGAGTCGTGACAATGAAGAATGGGAATTGAGATTGATTGTCGATGCTCTTGCATGTCCATGAGAACTTCGACATTTGCGTGTTTGCGAAGTTTCATGTTTTGACGGAGCTTTTTTGTTTGACATCTTGACTGTTTTCCAGCCTTGTTGTATTTTCAGCGTATTTCGTTGACGCCGGAGTGTCAAACTTTTAGATCTGCTGAAAAAACGAATCACGATGCGTTTTTGATTCTGTCTCTTAGAAGATGCTTCCACCAAGAGTAAATCAAAGGCGATCTTGAACGCCACTTGTTGAATATCATTGGATGTGAAAGCATTTCTGTCTTGAACAAAGTGCCTTTGACGCATTCGGACTTTGTAGGCGAGAGGGTTTAGGGTTTCAGGGCCGCGCGAGTACGGGCATTCAAGGCCTTGAAGTTTAGCAGTTACTGGTTGGCCCAGCCTTTAGGTTTGCTGGGGGCCAGGCAGGTTTTGGGGGTTTAAGGGACTCGACTTTAGGGTTTGAGGGCTGCAGATTTCAGGTTTGGGGCGTGGAGTTGAGGATCTTGGGAGAGCCGAGTGTTCAGGAGCGGCTTTTTGGGGGTTAAGGGTTGCTTTAGGATTTTGTTTTCAGGTTTAATGGTTTAAGGTTTAACTTTCAGAGTTTAGGATATCAACAGCCAAGCAGAGCGGAGTCTTGAAAGGTTTCGGTTTTAAGCCTAGGGCTCTGGGGTTTCGGGGCTTAGGGCAGTTTGAGGTGTGACTCCTTCCCACTAGCGCACGAATCCCGTGAATCCCGTGTGCGTACCATCCGGTCCAGTGTGGCGTGCAAATCTGCGCCAATCGACTGCAGTGCGTGAGTCGGCTTCTATCGTAGAGCTTTGTCGCCACAGGGCCAGCTACGCACCACATCGGAGAAACTGCGAGACCTCCTTCCGGACAAGGCCTTGGGCTCAGGTCTTTGGGAGTTTCGGCATTGAGCCGTGGCCTGAAGCTGCAACTTCAGACTAGGCACAGGATGAACTCGCTGACCATGGTGTAGACATCGGGATCTGCATGCTTGTCACAAGCAAGGCACCCCACTTCTCGCAGTACCTGGAGCAAGGCAGTGCAACTGGTGTTGGTCATCTGCTCTAGTTCGATGCAAAGGTGTTTCACAGAGATACTACAAAGATGTCTGCTGCCTGCAAGGTTTGCGCCCTGGGGGTACTGTCGGTACGTCCCAGCCTCGGTACAGTTAAGATTCAGCCGGAAGCTTGCGAAGCGCACGGATTCCGTCAAAGAAGCTTTTTGGCAAACTTACCAGGCTTTCTGCTATGTTTTCCTCGAAATTGTGCTTTTGTTTGCCTGGCGTTTCGGTCTCGTACCCCAGACATCTGAGAAGAAACCAGTCAGGTTGCATCGGGATGATGTTGGCGTATCAACAAGGCATCCAAGGCTGTGCGTGGTCTGTCGCTCCGTGGATACGCCGCGGTGCAATGATGCATACACAGTTGTGAATTTGCGCAGTGGCTCCGATGCCACTGTCATGACGAAACCTTGAGAGAATCGCGTCTGCTGAGCTTGTGCATGGATTTGTGCGTGATGCACGGAAGCATGTTTGCTCTCTGCGTCTGCAGAGAAGCATTCAGCTTGTCCCACTTGCTCCGACAGGGCTTGGAACGATGATGCAGAACTCCGAACTTTGCGCAGTGGCTCTGACATTGCGCTGAGGATGAGATCCATGCAGAAGCTGAGTTGGTCTCTGCATCCTTCGAGAATCTATCCCACGGATTCCGGCACTGCCGTGAACATGGACACGCGCTTCCAACACTTTGGTCGCAGGTTGTTCAGACCATTTCGCACTTTTGTCTGGTTGCTGCCGACAGTGATGCAGAAGACAAACTTTGCGCAGTGGCTCTGACATATCAATGAGGATATGTTCACCAAAACGAGCTGAGTGTTGGCTGAACGGATAGCATGTGGGAAACATGCTATAGAGACCATTGAGAAGACTTGTGCGTATGAGCTGTCATCACTGAAGTGCCTGTGGCCGGAAAGCTATGTCCTGTTCACGGTGACTTGGACATCTTGTCATGTGCTGTTTCCGAAAATAAGGGGGTACCATATTTTGGGATCCTCAAAAAAGGATCTTACCACTTGGGGTGCTATGTTAGGGTCCCCTATTCTCGGAAACTCCCATGTATTCCGTGCAAAACCGGCACGTCCGAAGGTCCCTGTCAACTCACGGCCTGAGTATCCCGTATCGTTGGGCAACAGTGTAAATCTTGGTTTTCCTTGGCCTGAATTGCCGCAATTTCTCTTCTGCCGACCCTTCTTCTGTAAGCAGCCGGAGAGCTGCTCATTGAGTCGAGAGTCATGCATCCAGATCTCTTGGCATCGGCAAGAATCAATGTTTGGAACGTGAGTCGTGAAAGGTGGAGAGTGTTGATTCGATGAGGCATCCAGTCAGCACTTCACCATGTGACTGTCTGCTTCACTGCACGGATCGGTGTATTGAATGCGCGTTTAGCCTGCCCCCAGGCTGGGAGGTTTTCATGGCGGCGCAGAACCTGAGAGCCTGCTGGGGATCATGGAATGCCTGACCGGCGCTCAGCCTATCACCAGCAAGCTGCTGAACATGTACGCCTGAGCTTCAACACCTGTTTCTGCATGTCGTTGCAGTGGTAATGTACAGTTACAGAGGCTCCTGATTATGATTTTTGGTTGGATTTTTGCAGGTGAGCTGTGAGCCACTTGCAAAAAGCTCCCGGGCCGCCTCTGTCCCGAGGTGCGTCGTTTGCAACGCCCAAGTTTCTTCTCGACGGGAAGACCTCGTGGCTGCTTGTCAGTGGCTTCTCCAGGACTACGTAAAGGGATCACACTTCGAGGGAAGTGATACCATGGACTCCTTTACGTCTGGACAGTGTTTTGTGTCTCCCCGTGTCGACGGGCGTTTGAGGCCTGTAAAGCAAAATGATGACGATAGCGGCGAATACGAATACGGCGATTATCACCATCTTCATCTTCTGCCTCTATCTTCAACATCATCAACAGTCTTCTGGCGACCACGGAGCATGAATAGTGCAGGCATCTGGACATCTGCACGACGGATAAGAAGTGCTGTAGCCATTCCCCCAAACCCTCACGGTTACTGCGATGGCCGCAGTGGTGCATCGCCTGACCAGCACTACAAACTATAATGCTCGTTAATTCTACTGATACCAACTGTCCTGCCATTATCATGATTAGCATTGTAATTCCGCGGGTGTTTTGAGGGTCACCAGACTTCTGGTCATCATCATTGGTAACATGAAGAAGACTGGGATGTTCATTGCCAGGACCATCACTGGTGTCGTGATCATATTACAGTAGCATCATCCAGACTTACCAGAGATACGAATCGTGTGGTCATTATTTCTCTGCATCCTCATGAGCAGTGCCAGTGTCTTCATTGTCCTAGTCATCATCATGTCTGCTCACCATGACCATGACAAAAGGTCATAAGTCCAGAATGGTAGCACGACCGAACTCGGAGACGACAGCAGCGGTGTTGCAAAGAGAGCTAGCGATACCAACAATGATAGCAGTAGAGTTGATAGGATGCACTGCTGGCGGGATAGTGGTCATGTCGACGTGGATGGCGACATCGTTGTCGTTTCCGTCGTAGTGTCGGCGGTTGTCATTGTTACTGTTGTCGATTTCGCTGTTTTTTTGGTTGATGCTGCATGCTGTTGTCACGGCATTGGGGATACTGAACATGAAGACCAAGATCTGCCAACATAAACAGTTTGATGCAGCCGATGTTGGCGAAAGTGAGGGCCAGCACAAGACTGGTGGTGATGCTGATGACCATGCTGGCGATGAGGCTGCCTCGGCTGCAGATGCCGCTTGTGACGCCGCGGTTGTGATGGTGACTGCCATGGTGGTCATATGAGCATTATCATTCATTGTGTTGCCATCGGAAGTGTTGCGTTGTACGCTGTTCTACGAATGAAGGATCCCAAGTGCCTGGCCGAAACTTTGGCCTCGCTGCCTGCCGCACCGGGAGCTTTGTCCCGGAGGCCAGTACTGTATGAGCCTTGCAATAGACATTGAGGTTGCAGAAGTGACAGGGAGTGTATTTGCAGCGACCAAACATCGATTTTGCAGGGACAAGTGCGATGTACGCGGCTCCCACATGCAAGTGCTCTGCTTCTGCTGCCCTGCATGAATTCTCATGTGCAGGTTGGCTCCCTACCTTCTAACATGCGACAGCAGCTGGCGGGGAAGCTTGAATGAGGCCGCAAGGAATCTTAGGTCTTGAGAAGTAGTAGTCGTCACGTCAATTTGATTTCCCGTGGAGTTCTTCACACCAGCCAGTTTCGCAAGTTTTTGAAACTGTGCCAGGCTGGGCAATGCTACGAGGCGTTTAGATCATGGCTGCAGCTTGGCAGCAATCATTCGACAGGCAGATGTCCATCGATGCACGGCACTTCATTGCCAGGTCCTGCTACTACCAGTACTCATTGGTGTCTGCACAGATGGAGGCACGTAAGCCAAAACCGGCTGCGTCGCGTCTACACAAGTGACCGAGCCTGGGCAGATCCACACTGGTTCCCGAAGTTGTAAAGATGCTGGGAGCTTCCTTCTTTAATTGCTTGTTTTCATCTGCGCCAGAGAGCATGCAGCTTCGGTTTCAGGTGATCCATCACGTAGCACTGCAGCGTGGCTCATGCTTTGTGTAATGATCATTGCCTTCCCTTGCCTCGTTCACATCAAGCATGTGGTGTTTGCAGCCAGGCCAGCGCAGCTCAATTGCAGCTCCAGGCAAGATTCCAGAGCTGAATTTCAACACATGCTTCTGCCCCGAGAGTCCGAGAGTTGTATTCACTGGTAGGTGGCACTTGCACGACTTCTGGCACTTGTGTGCACGCTAGTGCCACTGCTGCTGCTGCTGCTACTACTACTACTACTGCTACTACTATTACTACTACTACTACTACTACTGCTGCTACTACTACTACTACTCCTGCTGCTACTGCTACTGCTACTGCTACTGCTACTGCTACTACTACTACTACTACTACTACTACTACTACTACTACTCCTGCTGCTACTACTACTACTACTACTACTACTACTACTACTACTACTACTAAATCTCCTAAACCTCCTAAACACCTTAACCCCCAAACCCCCTAAACCTCTAAACCCCTAAGCACTTAAACCCACTAAACCCGTTAAACCCCCTAAACCCCATAAACCCACTAAATCCCTAAGCACCTAAACCCCTAAACCCCTAAACACCCTACACCCCCTGTGCTTAAACCCCTAAACCCCCCCCTAACCCCCTAAACCCCCCTAAACCCCCTAAACCCCCTAAACCCCCTAAACCCCCTAAACTCTAAAACACCGCAACCCCCTAAACCCCCTAAACCCCCTAAGCCTCTAAAGCACCGAAACCCGCTGAACCACCTAAACCACTTAAACCTCCTAAACCCCTAGCCACCTAAACCCCTAAACCCGCTAAACCCGCTAAACCCCCTAAGCCCCGTAAGCCCCGTATACCTCTAAGCCACCTAAGCCACCTAAACTCCTAAAACCCCTCCACCCACTAAACACCCTAAACCACCAAACCCCGTAACCCCAAACCCCATACACCCCGTAAACCCCTCAACCACCTGAACTAAACCCCCTAAACTCATTGAACCGACTAAACCCCTAACCTCCCTAAACCCCTAAACCCCCTAAACACCTAAACCACCTCAACCCCCTCAACCGCCTAAGCCCTAAACCACTAAAACCCCCCAAACCCACTAAACCGGCAAACCCCTAAACCCATCTGAGCCCCTTAAAACCCCTAAACACCCTAAACCCCTTAACCTGCTGAACCCCATACACCCGTAAACCCCCTAAACCGCCTAGATCCCCTAAACCCCCTAAATCTTTAAACCCCCTAAGCCCCTAAACCTCCTAGCCCTTTAAACCCCTATACCCGCTGAACCGCCTAGTATACCCCTAAACCCTAAAGGAGCAGCTGCTCAAGGAGCTGAACAAGGAGCCATCTCCAGGCTCGCGCTTTGTTTCTTGGACCCGCAGGTCCAACTTGGGAGTTTCCGAAAGTAGGTGGGGGTTTCCGGCAGTTCAGGGTTTAGGGGTTTAGAGTCTAAAAAACCCTAATATAGTACCCTCTATAGTCGGATCCGTCTTACAAGGACCACAAAATAAGGTAGCCCTTATTTATCGGAAACTCCCACTTGCTAAGGGAGGGCTGAGAATGCTTTCAGGCACAGACGTCCCTCGCAGTACGTGGTGTCCCCAGCTGCTTGTGCAAGCGGCGGTACGACTCAGTATGACGCCGTATGCTCTTCCGTGAACTTTGGAGTGCTTTTGCTTGGTTGCGGAAAGACCACACAGTTGGCACACATGATCAGGCATGATACGGCCCTCTCGGCATGCCCCAAGGCAAGTAAAATCAGCGGTGTGGCGTCACTCGTCGGGTCTCAGGCGGTCGCCGGGGCACTCAGACTCAGAGCCTTGGTGATGCAGCCCGTGGCATTGTCGAATCTCCTTGCTCTTGCTTTCTTCCGCACCGCTTAGCTGAGTTTCTGGTTCCGCTTTGCCTGAGCACCAGGTCCTCTGTTCAGTCGACATCAAGCGCAGGAAGTCGGCGGTCGCCATCGCCATCCGATGTGAAGGCCCCGTCTGTGGAAAATTGGGTATAGACTTGTCTGAGAACCCCTTATCACGAAGATGCGGTGCTGCACTGTCCGCATAGAGCCAATGTTGAGACACGCCAGCGGCGGGTTTCTATTCCATCGACGGCCCATGACGCTGGACCTTGGCCCCCCGGGGTTTGTCACTCAAGATCTTCTACAGTTGGGTTTGCCAACCAACATATCCTTCAGGGGGCCAAAGTTTATCAACCAAAGTCGTATCTTGCAAATTTGGGGTTTCGGGTTTGCCACCAACGATCTTGTCTTGGGGGTTTCGGGTTTGCCGACCCATATACCCTTGTAAGATCTCGGGCTTTGGGGCGTGCCACCCACGATCTTCCTTTCGGGTTTGGGGTTTGCTGACCAAGGTCTTCTTCTTTGAGGGTTCGGGGTTTTCCCATCGTTCTGTTGGGGTTTTGGGTTTTGCCACCCACGATCTTTTCTTCGCCAGTGCAGACGAACGTCTGTTTTTGAGGTTCAGGGTTTGCTAGCCACTATCTTCTTGTTCGGGGTCTGGGTGTTGCTCCCATCTTCTATTCGTGAATCAACAGCTCCAGTTTAGGGTTTACCACTCCCGGTATTCTTCTGCTGCTTGCGGTTGCAAACGAGTGTAAATCTTATTTTAAGTTTTGGGGTTGGCCAGCCATGACCTTCTGCTACGGCCAGGGGGTTCGCCGACCAACATACCTTTTTCAGGTGTGGGATTTGCCAACAAGTATCTCATTTAAACGTTTCGGGTTCACCAACCGATACTTTATTCTTTTACGCTTTAGGGTTTGGCACCTATGATCTTCTGCAGGGCCGGGCTGGAGTTTGCCAACCAACATCCCTTTTGCAAGTCTCCCGTTTGCCAACCAGTATCTCACTGCTTTCAACTTTTTGGGATCATCTTTGGGGTTGGGGGTTTCGCCGCCCAACATACCTTGTTAAGGTTAAGGTCTCCGGTTTGCCAACCAACATCTCCTTTCAAGGTTTACGGTTTGCCGCCCATGATCTTCCTCAAGGGTTGGGGGTTCGCCGACCGACGTACCTTTTTCAGGTCTGGGGTTTGCCAACCAACATCCCCTTTGAACAATTAGGGTGTGCCAACCCATGCTCTACTCTTTTAGGTTTTGGGGTTTGCCACCTATGATCTTCTTGTAGGGTTGGGGGGTTGGCCGAGCATCGTGTGCCAACCAGCATCCCCATTGCGGGCGCGAATGGTGGCCAGAAGCGCGCCCGCACCCCCCGCACCCCCGCACCCCCCACCCCCCGGCACCCCCCGCACCCCCCGCACCCCCCGCACCCCCCGCACCCCCCGCACCCCCCCGCACCCCCCGCATCCCTTTTACAAGTTTACGGCTTGCCGCCCGGAATCTTATTCTTTCAAGTCTCGGGGTTTGCCACCCTTGATGATCTTCTTCTAGGGTTGGGGGTTCGCCGACCAATAGCGGTGCCAACAACTCCGGGAGAAGCTTGATCTGCATACCAGGCGGCAAGACCTGGCGATGCCGGTGGTCGAAAGAGTGCAGGCTGGCCGCGGCTTGCCGGCTAGCCCGGATGTCGGCACACATGGATTTATTAGACAGAAGTCCCAGCAGAAGTCAAGAGATGTCAAGAGCTACGTTTGTGTATGTCGGAGACGCTTCGTTTCGGCCTGTTCAAACTTGTTCCAGGCGGTGCTATTTCTTTGACGCGTGTCTCACGCGAGGCTCTGTCAAGAATGTGTGGTGCAGTTGTGAAATACGTTGGGGTGCATCCCGGAGTTGAGTTTTTTGGTTGCTGCCAGGCTTCTCAGAAGAGCCCACTCGGGCGCAGCTGTCTCAGTTCCCGAAATGACGAGCTTCGTGCATTTTCATTCGACCATGCAGCATCGCAGTTCAGGTTCCTCTGCGTGAGCAGGAGTAGCATCAGATGAATGTTGACCGTGCGAGGCAGTGAGAAGTCATTGAAAACGGCACGGGCCTCTGACATCTTTGGGCTGGAGATACTGGAGGCTAACTGCAAAGCAGTCGCGAGCTCACGTTGCCTGTTGCCTGCTGCACCAATCCGGCTCTTGCACTCGCAGACCGTCGCGTAGGGATTAGGTCCGCTTGTGCTTTGTTGCTTTGCAGGCCAGGCCGGGCAGGTTGTGCGGATTCTTTGTAGCGTTTCACAACGAGTGATTGCTGAATGGCGAGCGTAGCTATGCCCAGCTATGCTGCGTGCAGCACACCCAGACATGTGTTCCCGCCTGTCTTTCCCTGTGCAGGGGTCATGGCGAGCTTCTCCGTGAAATCAGCCGTGCGCGTCGCACAAGGCAACGCTGTGGCTGGAGCCGCAAGTCGCACACAGTTGGCTCATTCTGACAGGAATGCTGAAGCGAGTCGAGTTCACTTCAAGGACTCGCGAGAAGAGCTGCCGTTGCCGGTCTTATGTCAACAAATGGGCAACTCGTAGTGGGGGAGCCCGCATCAGTGGGCCGTATGCGTGTTCTCACTTTCGGAAACTCAGAGGACCCTTGGCAACACACCGACCATTTTTGCAGCCTACTTACCGGACACCACGGAGTTCAAGAAGCTACCAGTGGCAGCTAGTCTGGTCTTGCAGAGCCGGGGTAATGATGTCATGTTGCGGAGAAACTGTTGATCTGTGTTGCTCTGCACCATCAACAGACTTCGGGTCTGTGGCAACCACATAACCTCAGGTGTATTGGCTGTCTGGCTTGACATGCACGGACGAGAACTTCTCCCAGAAAGCAGGCGCCTTCCAGGCCGCCTGTGACAATCAGGCCTGGCTGGGGACCGGGGCTCAAGGCAGGAAGATCAGCCCAAAGACATCATACGAATAATGTTGAACACGGGAAGAGACACGAATTGGCCCTCGTAACGGTGGTGGTAGTGGTGTTGGTGGTGGTAGTGGTGGAAGTGGTGCGGTGGTGGTGCTGTGGAGGAGGAGTAGTAGTGTTGGAGGGTAGTAGTAGTAGTAGTAGTAGTAGTCGTGGTGCTAGTAGTAGTAGTAGTAGTAGTAGTAGTAGTAGTAGTAGTAGTAGTAGTAGTAGCTTGCTTTTTGGGTGGGGCGGGGGGGGGGGAACGTGGGAATGATGACGACATTCTTACGAAGACACCCCGAACACTACCTCCAGAAGAGCCGTTTCACTCAGTATATACAGTATTTTCGTGATGCCGACCATTTTATATAGTCACCAAACGTACTTCTGGACTTTGCCATCACCTTGGGATTTCGGAGTGCTTTCGGCAAAAACTCGAAATTGGTTTGGGGGAAGCTTTTTCTGGGATGATCACGACAGTGTTTCGTGGACACCCCGAACAATATCTGAACACCCTGGCGCTCACACACCACACACCGCTTCAAAAGCAAATCCTTCTACGCCGATCTCTGGCCTTGGGGGAGTTGACGAGCCCCTCCCACGTATAGCTGGCATCTTTGTTTTAGATTTTTAGAAGATGTTGCGCTTCAGGCTGCAGGAGTGTTGAAGCCTTCTGGGCAGCACCTGCGTTTTTCACGATATTTACAGCGTTTTCGTACTATCCGACCACGTGTGGTTTAGCTGTTTCTTCCACGTTGAGTTTGCAACTCCAGCTGCTGTCGCAGTTTTGGGGCCTCGGCCTCTGCAACTTGACCGGCTGTGACAGATGAGGAAAGCGAGCCTCTGCAACTTCTGCAGCTGTCACAGATAGGGAGCCTGAGTTCCTGCATCTTCTGCAACTGTCGCAGTTACGTAGCCTAGAAGCTGCCAGTTCAGCTTGGACGGAGCACGTGTAGTTGGGAGTGGGTGGGGGTGGCTAGTAGTAGTAGTAGTAGTAGTAGTAGTAGTAGTAGCAGTAGCAGTAGTAGTAGTAGTAGCAGCAGTAGTAGTCGTAGTAGTAGTAGTAGTAGTAGTAGTAGTAGTAGTAGTAGTAGTAGTAGTAGTACCAGTCGCAGTAGCAGTACAGTAGCAGTGGCAGTGGCAGTGGCAGTGGCAGTGGCAGCAGTAGTTGTGGTAGTAGTAGTAGTAGCAGAAAGAAGTCGCAGTAGTGGTAGTAGTAGTAGTAGTAGTAGTAGTAGTAGTAGTAGTAGTAGTAGTAGTAGTTCTAGTAATACTACTACTACCACTACTGCTACCAGCAAACTACTGCTGCTGCTACTGCTGCTACTACTACTACTACTACGACGACGACGACGACTACGACTACGACTACGACTACGACTACGACTACGACTACGACTACTACAAGTAGTCGTACTAGCAGCAGTACTAGCAGCAGTAGTGGTGCAGCAGGAGCAGCAGCAGCAGCAGCAGCAGAAGCGGGCAGCAGCAGCAGAAGCAGCAGTAGCAGTAGCAGTCGCAGTAGCAGTAGCAGCAGCACAGTAGCACAGTAGCACTGTAGAACAGGAGCATTGTAGCTTCGTAGCACAGTAGCACAGTCGCACAGTCGCACAGTAGCACAGTAGCAGCAGCACTTCCTTGCAAGAGCCGGCATCAGTAGTATCGCAAAGGGCAAAGCACAACGAAAGTAATAACTTGAACACTAAAGGTTAAGGGAACAAGTAGCAGCAACCGTAAAGGGGTGGCAGTGGCAATGTTGACAGTTTTCGTACTGGCAGTGGTTGCACCAAGATCTGCAGACATAGCATTAGTGTGTCGGATTGTCGGCACGAGATTGAAGCATCGTAAGCAGATGGCAGGTTGTTTTGGTGATGCCGGACACATCTCCACGGGGCGATGGTGTACCAGACGAGGAGCTGCACGGGTCATCGTAGGGTCGAGTCGAACATGTCGCTGCCCGGCCATTGCGGGTCTTCGATGCCTGCCACAGTCTTCAGCAAGATCAGCAGGAGCCGCATGCCTACGATTTTGGAATCGGAGCTGGGTTCTACTTGAATGCCACGACGGACAAGTACAAGACCCACTACAACATGCCACTTGACAGTTCAATTGAACTTTGCAGTGCACGGCTATCAAAGGAGTTGTGCCGGGGCAAGGTATGATTTTGTGGTCAAGGAGCTTCCTGACTTTGTGGAGGCCCAGGGGGGGCTGCTGGGAACGAGTTGCTTCGGGTGAGGTCAGCATGATGGTGTTGACTGTGACGGTGATTTTGGTGGTCGTGATGACAATGACGGTACATGTGAAGAAGCAGATCATGCTATCAATGACGAGCAGCATGTCAATGCTGGAGGAAATGACCAACGCGATCATGACGTCGATGATGATGATAATGATGATGATGATGCTGTGACGCTGGTGACGCTGGTGATGATGACGACGATAACGCAATTTTTGACGCTCAGCCCTATTCGAGCTGTTGTTTGCTGTTCGTGCGATGCGGCTGCCGCGGCTTCCGTCGCTGTCGTCATCATTACCATCATGACGACGATAATATTGCTCTTTATCTTCTCGTCTTTATCCTCATCATGACCACCACCACCACCAGCAGCAGCATCATCCTCATCATTGTCATCATCATCATCATCATTATGGCCATCGTCAGCTCTATGTCCTTCATTGTCATCGCTCGTGGGAGGCCAACTTTCCCGTCAGCTCCAAGCGCGCAATCTCCGGCTACTCGATTGCTGTGATCCAGGGTGTCGATATGCAGGGGTCAGGGACGGTTAGGGGTTGTGGCTGAGGTGTTTGGAGAGCTTGTTGGGTTTGGTGTTGAGCGTTCACTGTTTGATTCGGCCTGGTGTAGCATCCGCTTAGCTTGGCAATGGGCGGATGGAATTAAAACGCCGAGCTCAGGCCACTCTATGGGCGGCCACGGTGCACTGACTATCGCCATGAAGAACCCAGAGAGGTGCGAAGGAACTGTAAGTTGGTGAGGAGGAAAAGCTTTGCCGATTTCTGACTGAGGTACACTTCGGTGTCTGCCTTTGCCCCAATCTGCAACCCAATGAACGTTCCTTGGGGGCAGAAAGCTTTCAAGCTCTACTTGGGGGAGGACCAGCAGGCAGGGTTTTGGGCCAAACTGACAGACCCTCACAGAACACGAAAAGACGAAGTCCCCAATCCAAGCAGGGCTGGAAGCAGTACGACGCCACCGAGCTCATCTCGCAGTACACAGGCGCGACCTCATTTTCGGCACTTCACCCCTTTGCTGGCCACGTGAATGTCATGTTGGTTGTGTGAATGCGACCTGTGCATATGCGAGCAAGAGCGCTTGTCGATGTTTGGCTGTCTTCCCGAAGAAATGGAACAGTTTCGCCTGACTTGCACGTGCTTCTTGGTATGCAGTTCTGTTCTTAAGATATGCTTCTACTCTGTGGCTTGGAAGTCGTGTCTGCCGACGGAGGCAAAGATCTGCATATCCTGTGCGACTGTGGGACGGCTACTCGTCGCATGCATTTTTAACAGCATGTTGGATTGTTAGGTGCTGGCTAGAGTATGTAGCTGCAAGCGAGGCCGACAGCTTTCTCGTGGGCGACGTGAACCAGTTGCAGCCATTGGCCTTCATGGCCGCAGCACAGAAGGCGAAGATCCCAATCACCTTCAGGACATGAACCGGAGGGATCATAACGGCTCATTTGTTGCTTGGGCAGCACAACTAGCAAAAGTGCTAGCTCGTGCTAGCTCGTAGACTTGAGTAGAGGCCATGATGCAAGCACCCAGTAAGCAAAAGATGCGAAACCTGCATGGCACCTCTAGTGAGGAGTTCGGAAGCTTACGGGTTTTCAGGGAAGGCCTGCACTTTGCGACGAGCAGGAGCGTGCCTGCACACGAGGGAGTGTGGAACATCAAGCATTGCCATCCATCCAAGCTGCTCCAACTTATTCGAGATCTTGCAACGCAGGATGCAGGCTGGGTATGACCACTCGTACTACTTCATGTCGACTTTCATTCGACTCTCGCCCAAACGAGAAGAACCGGTCCAGCAAGCTTTGGATTGTGCTGGCAGTATCCCTGTTATGCATGCGTAGTACGGGGTTACTGCAACTTGCACTTTCGTGCATTCAGTCAAGTAGCGATGTTGCAGCTCTGTGTTGTATTGGTGCTGCCGGTGCTGAAAGTCCGAACATGACATTCTAAGTTAACTGGCGGCAGCCGAGGTGAGCACCTGGAGCACCATGCGCGCTTTCTGCATGCGGGTGGCTATGGTGCCTGAGCGATGTGACAGTTGTTGACCAGTTGCAGCCTGCAGCTCGTGGCTACACGGCTGTAACCGGGTCGCTTATGCAATAGCAATCTCAGTTGCGTGACTCGAGCATCTCCACAGCTGTCCGTCCGGCATCCGTGCAGCGAGCACTGCGGTAACGTTGAAGCTGCATCGTCCATTCTGAGACATGCGCTCACCCGCCTTGTCGCTTGCTCTGATTGATAGCGTGGTTTCTGGACCAGAGCCACCTCAAAAGGCCTGCAAGGCAGGTTGTGCCATGCAGGCAAGATCGGTAGACCAGTAGGTAGTCCACAGGCCTTCCAGATCCGTGTGACCCTCATAAATGTGGCATTTCCGGTGGAACGCATCATGCGGGCCATGCATCTAACATAACAGTTTGGCAGAAATTACTGATGCTGCAGCTCTTCGTTCATCCATGTAGTCAGACGGATTTGCCTGGAATGTGTATGTCAGCGCTCAGCCTACTCCAGCGTGAGCATTGCAAAGAACAAAAGGTTCTAATACGTATGGCACGGTCGCATCATGCCTCATCAGCCTCATCAGCCCCGCATGGTGCATCATGGTGCTGCTGCTCCTGCTGCTTCTGCTGCTGCTGTATACCATAAGGCCATAAGACATCACGCTCCGATGCACGAGCCCCGAGAACATGTTCAGTTTCGGAGCTAACAAGATGCCTCTAGCGAGCACTCGACGCGGGTCCTAAGTTTGGGCGGGAAGGCAGGGAGGCCTCAAATTTCTGCGATCTCGGATAATCGTGAGCAACTCGCAACTCCTAAGGGTGAAGCTTGATTCGCTCCTGTACGTCCAGGGGGTGAGTGGATGGGACAGGAGAGCGTGGCATTGGTGTTGGGGGGCTTCGGGAACAGAAACACACATGGGGGTTCCGAGCATGTTTGTCAACACGAGGCCTCGCAAACTCCAACCACCAGCCAGGCGAGATACGGGAACTGCCAATGTCTTGTTATCTTGCTGCAGCGGCACAAAAATGGCACGAAGATTGCCCGGAAGTCGTTAGTCAGGTTTGAACGGGCCCGCATGAGTTCTCCTTTTCAGGGCCAGCCACCCGCGTCGCGACCCTCGCTGATACGTACTGCTTTCGGGTCTGACAAGGCAGGCATGCAAATTGCACACTGCCGTGATTTGCACAGTGCATGTCGTTGTATACTGGACAACCCGACCGAGAACACGACACATAGCAGGCAGCGCCTTCATCCAAATTGCACAGAAGACCGGACAACCTGCAGGGCACAGAGCCTTCGCCGAGAACGCGGCTAGCTCTTGGTGGCCACCAGTCACTGGCATTGGCATCTTGGCCTACTCGAAGCTGTCTTGCGAGGTAGCTCCAAAACAAGCAACAGGAGTACAGGATCCGAGAGAATTGGAGACCTGAGTTCCTCCCTCCCAGAGATCCGAATTCAAGGTTTCAAAGACGTTGTTTACATGTTCTCCGGTTTTGCCCTCCTGCGGAGCTCTGCCCAGAGCGGCGCTCGGCCGACGCGCAGTGCCACCGCGGTGGCGCCTCCCGGTCCACCAGCTCTCAGCGCGGCAGCCCAGCAAGGGCCCAGGCCTAGGCCTAGCATGCCAGTTAAGCGTTCACGAAAGTCTGTCGAGGCGCGGGATCTCTCTCTCTCTCTCTCTCTCTCTCTCTCTCCTCTCTTTCTCTCCCCCTCCTTTCTGTGCATCTGCTTTTCATATATGCACCATATAGTATATATATATATGTATATATATATATATATATGTACATGTTTTTTCTGTAGTTTGGTGGAGCTCACTGTGTGTATACAGAACCAACGGACAAATGGGTAAAGAAAGAGATTTGTAAGGATCCAATGAAATGAATACGGCGTCGTCCTTAATCGCATCGTTGTTTTTGGGTCCTTCACAGACGGGGCCTTGGCTAGCTGGACCTGCCAAAATTGTCATAGCTTGTGGTCAAGATGAAGGCCCTCGCCGCAGCGTCCCGTACAGCGCGCGGGGCTATGTGGACCCGCCGAAGACTCTCTTATCGTCTGGGCCTGAGATCCGTGCTGCCATGAACACAAAACAAACTCCCCAACCCAAGGTGCAGCTCTTTAGCTTGAGCTGATTCGACGAGTCTCTGATAGCCTTGTCTTGGGAGATGCTAAGGTCACGACGTCAGATAGTCCCAGCTGTCCGGGCAAGGCGCTCTCCGAGCCGAGAGGTTCCTGCACCAGGCCGCTAGAAGCTGTCAATAGCAGCAGTTTAAATTTAAGTCCAAGGAGCGCCTGTCTGTTCAGGAAAGGCACGCTATCTACTTTGAGTGCTAGCTGGGTTCTCCCAGCGACCCGACTCGCTGGCAAAGCCTTTGGTTGTCACTGGCTTGTTCGGGATGTGCCATAGATGGGTGAGACAGGATTCCGGCCCATCTTTTGCATTGTCGCTTTTTGTTTACATGCTTTCCTGCGTTTTGCCCCTGTGCGGTGAAGGCTCCAAAGCGACATCAGCCCGGGCAACGCCTGCCAGTAGCTCAGCGTCCGACCGCGGAAGTTTCAGAAGCTTCGCAGGTCCCAGACTGTCTTGAGTGGCGCCCAATCGCCACTCTATGTGGATAGCTGCGAGCCTCTGACAAGCAACATCCATAGCATGCACTGTGAGAGAGCAAGAACAATCCAAACACACCGTGTGCGAATTACGAGTGCCCTCCCTTGGAAAACGAATCTTGCCGACAGCATGCCCGGCAGCTGTAGTGTAAGAGCATCCAGAGTCGACAGCAACGTTAAGTCGGTGTGCGAAATGGCCTGCGGAAGCGTCGACTACAACAGCAAGATTCGAAGGTCCAAGCAGCCAAAGCAGTCGACGGGAAGCCGGCAGAAGTCAGCCTGAGCCTCAGCATAAGGCCTGCATGAGGTGTACATGATTTCAACTGAGAGCAAGCTTGGCGTGAAATCAAGTGGTGACAAAGTCGTTTGACTCACGTCCCATGGGCATGAAGAAGGAGACTCGGGTCGTTGGCAATTATAAGGCCTTGATTCGAAACTCATCTTGAGCCAGGGTAGAGCATGTAGACCTTCCAAGTCTCTAGCATGCCAAAGCCAGATGCAACTGCCGAGCCGCTCCAGCCGGAGAGCGGGCAGTCTGCCTCGGCACTGTACAGGCGGGGTGCTATTCATCGAGAGCTGCCGAATCCGCACACTCTGCACCCAATTGGTCTAACCGCAAATCACGAGGTACAGCTTGTAACTCTTGTGTCCGAGTGTTCACCCAGACGGGATCCCCGGTGAATGGGTCAGGCTCGTGCGTTTCCGTTGCAGTTCCTTGCCTCGTGATCCAGAAGCTATCTGTTCACTTACAGGAAGCTAGTAGTTTGTGATGTGCAGTCCTTGAGTTGACTCGCGGCGTTGTCGTTTTGCAAGTTTCTTTTGAATTCTAGCGACGACTGGCTTGGATGGTCTCCGTCAACCCTGTGGAATTTTGGTTTCTTCCTTGTAGCAGGTCTCGGAGCCTGCACAGCATCTCCGAGCCGGAGGCAGCCTTGAAATTAACCTGCAGCATGTTTTGTTGCAGCATGTTTTAGTTTTTGGTGTCGCCTTCCTCCAGGTTGGTGTCAGTCCGCCACTGTCAACACGAATTGCAAGGCCTCAGCTCCTCTGCTTGGGATCTGCCCCTGGTCTGTCTGGCCTCCTGCAGGCATTCGGAGACCTACAGTGCGCGGTTGCGACCGGCACAGGTTTGGATTGGCAGTGTGGGATTGTGCGCAAGATTTCAACAACTGTTGCTCAGATCACGCCAATCGCCAGCCGACTCGCTTCCTCAGCCACGCAGCTGCAGCCCAGGCTGGCTCGGTCGGCATTCTCAGTTTATTGGCTACATGCAATTGTACATCTTGCCTGGCAAAAATCTGCCAGGTCGTATGGCTCGGTCCTCCACAGCACTGGCAGCTGCATGCGAGGGGCCAGTCTTGTCGTCGTTCATCCGCGTTCCGCTCCACCGAAGCTGACAGCAAAGATGCTCACAAAGGCCATACGGCTCCGTGCGCACATCCCGCATCGCTTTCCAGAGCACAGGCGTCTCAGGAGGGGCATCCCACAGAAGCAGCTGTTTCAGCTTGGTAGATCTTCAATTGAGCGCTGGTACCGTGCAGGAGCCACCCTGAGGCCCCAGCCACGGACCAAGCCCATGATCCCATCGCACAAGGCTCCCTGCTGCCGGGTAGATGAACTTCTGCGTTTGATCTGTTGCGCTTTGCGATTTCAGACAAGGACGCTGGCCACCTTGTGGAGCGAAGCGGGCCAAGGGACCTCACCCCGAGCGCGTGGTCGCTCCGGCTGCTTGTCTCTGGAGCACAAAAGCCCGATGTACCGGTCTCTGTACTAGCAGGCAGCTCGCATGCCTTTGTGGCAGATCTCGGAGACAGTGGGTGTGGAGAGCACAGGAAGAGAAAAGCGCAATTTGTAAGTAGTACACCGCCACGTACCATCACGTAGCCCACGCAGGACGTAGACCGGGAGCCTGTCAAACAAAGCTAAACCCAAACCCACGCTTGCTCAGTGCTTGGTGTACGCCAGGGCCCTGGCATCTTCCCGGTCCTCTCCGTCCCTGGAGCCACGTGTGGCGCCGGGCTCACTATGACTTCCGAGCTCTTCTTTGCTCTTCTTTGGTGCTTGAGTTTGCCATTTGCAGGTGCTGGGCCGCCCCATGACCGGCCCAGTGGTTCGGGAGGTGACCATGGCCACTCCCAGGTCTCAGAGTGCCTTTTCCCTGCACTGCCCCGAAGCTGCGAAGCCGGCTCCCTGGCAAGGCCACTCTTTTCAGCACGTGCAAGATGAGCAAGGAGCGTTGGCCGGGATGAGCTGGACATGTTCGGCACCAGTTGGATTTCTGTCGCTACTTCGGAGACTTTGGGATTCATGTTACAGGGCCGGTAAAGTTCGGAGGCGGGCATGCAGTGCAGCAGGTTTCGAAAATTGAATGTTCATGTTATTGAACACGCATTTTCATTTTTGTAGGGCCTTTCGTGAGTGTCTCACAGCGTGGTTTCGCGTGCTTATTCAACGGCGGGACATGCAATGGTGTAGTGATACCACATTTGCGTGTGTACGCGTTGGCCCTAGACGGCTCGGCCGACAAGGAGAAAAGACGCTGTGCAAAGCTGAACTGTGACTGTTGGATGAATGTAGAGAGTACGAGCACATCATAGTTTTTGATTTTCGACTTGTGTGCTTGGGGCATGACCACCATTGAGATAGCTACCAATAGATTTAGATGGTTTTATGCCGAATGGCTTTTCTGACTGCAGCAGCTTGTGATAAACAGCCAGGGCCATGGCTTCCACGGGCCGCACATGCAGCCAAGGCCCGCCTAGGCTCTCGACTCTCCGGAGTGGACTCCACCTCCCCGGACCTTACTGAAACTGAGCGTTTAGGGTTTTTTTGATGCAGGGCCAGTCTGGGTGTAGGGATGCGACAAGATCCCGTGCTATCACTGGAAGCCATTCCCCTCGAACATTGTTGGCTCGGACTCAGAGCTTGGTTCGTGTCGAGTGAAGTCCTGACGGCCGTGTCATCTGAAGAGGCCGGTTGGGAAATCATGGAAGGCTTGGCGAGCTCTTGGGTTGGCCCAACAGTTGCAGATCTTGGGCGTAGTGGACACAAAATCTTGCAGTGGGATGGCATGTCCTGAATCCTGACGGGGTGTAGTGGAAAACCCTGAACCCGGGAGGTCTCACTGTGAACGAGCCTTTGGTGTACCCAGCGACTTATGTGATTCATGGAGATCAGTTGGACAGCGCTTTTTTGCTACCAGCATTTGACGGGCTTGACAGACTGACTATTGTGTGCCAGGCAAATAAAGACTGAGTTTTTCCGGCAGGCCTCGTCGGGTAGCGGCTTCTGAGGCACGGCCAGGTTGGTCCGGCGGGCTACGACCGAATTGATTACTGGCGGCACGAATCAGCTGAACAACAGCTGGCTCGCGTTGCACGGGCTTTCAAGACGATGCCCGACAGTTTGCGCTATGTTGTGTCAAGGGCTGGAAATCTGCAGAATCCACATTCAGATCATGGCTGTTCATTTGTGCAGCTTTGCCTTCAGAAGAACAACGTAGTCTTGGTCTGCGGTCAGCGGCAGTGGCATAGCACGCGAGAGATAAAGTTGCCATTGGCTGGATGTGGGGTTCGTAGCGGCTTCGGCGACAGTCACACACTGTTGCTATCATGTCTTCCTTACACTATCGCCGAACTCGTGGTCGCAAACGTATTCGGTCACCTGGCGCACGCAGGGGGCAGTGCCACGTGCAAAACCGCATGAAATCGTTGCAGTGAGAGGAGTGCTTGCGCAGCTGGTTTTTGAACTCCGGGGCGGCTCTCCGCACCGTCCGTAGTGGCTCAAGTGCAGTGCAGACCGACAGCCCTGTGGCTCCAGATTGCGCTGACGGTCGCTGGGAGCAACGTGGTAGGAGCGGGGTATAGCGGGGTGCTTGCTGTGGCATTGCCCTGCTGCTGAGGACCCGAAGATGGCTCTTTCCCGCGGCCTCCTTGTGCTCTCGGCGGGCGTGATGCATGCCATGGCCTGCGAGGGCAAAGTGTTCGACCAGGTCACGCGACGGTTGCTTCTTTTTGGTTTTGTCGCAGTTGTCCGGAACGTGAGAGTTCGCAGACGGTCTTGCCAGCACTTTGGACTGGAAATCCGAGGCGGCCTTCGAAGCGGGACTGCTTGGTGGCTCCATTGGTGGCATAGTCCTTGGCTTGCTGATGGTGATTTTTGCCTCGCTGCCCTTGTGCTGCGGTGTGCTCAAGCAGTACGGGAAGGAGTGAGCCTCGCTGTTGCTTTTCGGTTTGTCCAGTGTTGAGAGAGTGCTGAAAGCATGAGAAAGCAGTGGGACATGACGTCACAAGAGCTGCTGCACAGGTCATTGCCGCCATCGCCATCATTTTGGGACTCGCCTCCCTGATCGTCCCGTTCTTGGGTTCCATGGGCGCGTGTGGACCCTTCGTCGATCACATTTGCGACGACCTTTGTCCGGGAGAAATCCAATGCAGTCAGTCTGACAGAGACAACTTGACCACCACATGCAATGCCCTGGGATTCTTGGTGGTTTACCTCGGAGCTTTTGGCTGGGCCGCATGCGTGCTGGGCATCGTCGCTGCCAGCCTGGGCTGCTGCGTCTGCTGTCAGTGCTGCAAGGCGAAGCTCGACGACGGGCCAAAGCAGGGCGGCCAGCCCACCGTGGTGGTTGGAGCCGTTCAGCAGGCTGGGACGGTCTGGGAGGGACCGCATTCGGTCTTGAGTCTTGTGTCTGTTTGAGACGTGCGTCACGGAATCCTGCTCAGGGATGATGCGGCATGCGAAGCAGTAATTGTGCGGCGACATAGAAGCCGGGAGCTGCTGTAGAGGCAAGGGACGGCAAGGGGACATGCTTTCAGATACATCAAGCTGAAATTTCCACCGCCAGGTCTGCATGGCAATCGGGCGTAGAAACACACGAGACAAGTTGAATCTACGTCTCCGACGTGTGCAAACTTGTGGCCGCAAGCCGCATGCAGCAAGGCTTCTTGCGGCTAGTGGATACCCCTGCGGTTCCCACGGGCTGCAACATTCTTTAACATCTTGCAGCTTTTGCACATCATCATGAGCATGAGCATGCAGCTTGCAAGGAGCTCTTTCGTCTTTCTGCATTGAATAGAGTAGGCTTTAAACGACCCTCTCACATTGCAAGCTTCCATGCTCCACTATGCATGCATTTTTTGCTGTCGAAGCTGGTGGCACATCGCACAACATGTTGAATAGCCCCATGGCCAGACAGCAGCCTGAAGTCGTTTGGTCCGGCAGAAGACAAGTCGCAAGTCACAAGTCTGCATCATACTGAATCATACTCGTACTGTATCCTTGTTTAGTGATGCGGAGCAGCCTTCTGCCGAATTCCAGTTAGTCCTCAGATCTTGAGATCTTCAGTTGTCAGCGTGGCATCAGAATGATTGCTGCGAGAACACAGCTGCTGCGAAGTACGCGAGTGGTGAAAGAAGCCAGATGGTGCCTGCGAGGTCGATTGGTGTGCATGCAGGAGCCCTTCGCAACGGAGCCCACCGAGCTCAGTCTTGCAAGTGGTGGCTCAAGTGCAAACGGGATCCATTGCAGCTTCCGACTCCCATTGGTGACCAGGCCTGGCATCGCCGCATGCCCTGCCCTGTGAGCCTCTGCCCGGTGTGGCATCGCCCCACTGCTGAGGACCCGAAGATGGCTCTTTCCCGCGGCCTCCTTGTGCTCTCGGCGGGCGTGATGCATGCCATGGCCTGCGAGGGCAAAGTGTTCGACCAGGTCACGCGACGGTTGCTTCTTTTTGGTTTTGTCGCAGTTGTCCGGAACGTGAGAGTTCGCAGACGGTCTTGCCAGCACTTTGGACTGGAAATCCGAGGCGGCCTTCGAAGCGGGACTGCTTGGTGGCTCCATTGGTGGCATAGTCCTTGGCTTGCTGATGGTGATTTTTGCCTCGCTGCCCCTGTGCTGCGGTGTGCTCAAGCAGTACGGGAAGGAGTGAGCCTCGCTGTTGCTTTTCGGTTTGTCCAGTGTTGAGAGAGTGCTGAAAGCATGAGAAAGCAGTGGGACATGAAGTCACAAGAGCTGCTGCACAGGTCATTGCCGCCATCGCCATCATTTTGGGACTCGCCTCCCTGATCGTCCCGTTCTTGGGTTCCATGGGCGCGTGTGGACCCTTCGTCGATCACATTTGCGACGACCTTTGTCCGGGAGAAATCCAATGCAGTCAGTCTGACAGAGACAACTTGACCACCACATGCAATGCCCTGGGATTCTTGGTGGTTTACCTCGGAGCTTTTGGCTGGGCCGCATGCGTGCTGGGCATCGTCGCTGCCAGCCTGGGCTGCTGCGTCTGCTGTCAGTGCTGCAAGGCGAAGCTCGACGACGGGCCGAAACCGGGCCAGCCCGGCCAGCCCACCGTGGTGGTTGGAGCCGTTCAGCAGGCTGGGACGGTCTGGGAGGGACCGCATTCGGTCTTGAGTCTTGTGTCTGTTTGAGACGTGCGTCACGGAATCCTGCTCAGGGATGATGCGGCATGCGAAGCAGTAATTGTGTGGCGACATAGAAGCCGGGAGCTGCTGTAGAGGCAAGGGACGGCAAGGGGACATGCTTTCAGATACATCAAGCTGAAATTTCCACCGCCAGGTCTGCATGGCAATCGGGCGTAGAAACACACGAGACAAGTTGAATCTACGTCTCCGACGTGTGCAAACTTGTGGCCGCAAGCCGCATGCAGCAAGGCTTCTTGCGGCTAGTGGATACCCCTGCGGTTCCCACGGGCTGCAACATTCTTTAACATCTTGCAGCTTTTGCACATCATCATGAGCATGAGCATGCAGCTTGCAAGGAGCTCTTTCGTCTTTCTGCATTGAATAGATTAGGCTTTAAACGACCCTCTCACATTGCAAGCTTCCATGCTCCACTATGCATGCATTTTTTGCTGTCGAAGCTGGTGGCACATCGCACAACATGTTGAATAGCCCCATGGCCAGACAGCAGCCTGAAGTCGTTTGGTCCGGCAGAAGACAAGTCGCAAGTCACAAGTCTGCATCATACTGAATCATACTCGTACTGTATCCTTGTTTAGTGATGCGGAGCAGCCTTCTGCCGAATTCCAGTTAGTCCTCAGATCTTGAGATCTTCAGTTGTCAGCGTGGCATCAGAATGATTGCTGCGAGAACACAGCTGCTGCGAAGTACGCGAGTGGTGAAAGAAGCCAGATGGTGCCTGCGAGGTCGATTGGTGTGCATGCAGGAGCCCTTCGCAACGGAGCCCACCGAGCTCAGTCTTGCAAGTGGTGGCTCAAGTGCAAACGGGATCCATTGCAGCTTCCGACTCCCATTGGTGACCAGGCCTGGCATCGCCGCATGCCCTGCCCTGTGAGCCTCTGCCCGGTGTGGCATCGCCCCGCTGCTGAGGACCCGAAGATGGCTCTTTCCCGCGGCCTCCTTGTGCTCTCGGCGGGCGTGATGCATGCCATGGCCTGCGAGGGCAAAGTGTTCGACCAGGTCACGCGACGGTTGCTTCTTTTTGGTTTTGTCGCAGTTGTCCGGAACGTGAGAGTTCGCAGACGGTCTTGCCAGCACTTTGGACTGGAAATCCGAGGCGGCCTTCGAAGCGGGACTGCTTGGTGGCTCCATTGGTGGCATAGTCCTTGGCTTGCTGATGGTGATTTTTGCCTCGCTGCCCCTGTGCTGCGGTGTGCTCAAGCAGTACGGGAAGGAGTGAGCCTCGCTGTTGCTTTTCGGTTTGTCCAGTGTTGAGAGAGTGCTGAAAGCATGAGAAAGCAGTGGGACATGAAGTCACAAGAGCTGCTGCACAGGTCATTGCCGCCATCGCCATCATTTTGGGACTCGCCTCCCTGATCGTCCCGTTCTTGGGTTCCATGGGCGCGTGTGGACCCTTCGTCGATCACATTTGCGACGACCTTTGTCCGGGAGAAATCCAATGCAGTCAGTCTGACAGAGACAACTTGACCACCACATGCAATGCCCTGGGATTCTTGGTGGTTTACCTCGGAGCTTTTGGCTGGGCCGCATGCGTGCTGGGCATCGTCGCTGCCAGCCTGGGCTGCTGCGTCTGCTGTCAGTGCTGCAAGGCGAAGCTCGACGACGGGCCGAAACCGGGCCAGCCCGGCCAGCCCACCGTGGTGGTTGGAGCCGTTCAGCAGGCTGGGACGGTCTGGGAGGGACCGCATTCGGTCTTGAGTCTTGTGTCTGTTTGAGACGTGCGTCACGGAATCCTGCTCAGGGATGATGCGGCATGCGAAGCAGTAATTGTGTGGCGACATAGAAGCCGGGAGCTGCTGTAGAGGCAAGGGACGGCAAGGGGACATGCTTTCAGATACATCAAGCTGAAATTTCCACCGCCAGGTCTGCATGGCAATCGGGCGTAGAAACACACGAGACAAGTTGAATCTACGTCTCCGACGTGTGCAAACTTATGGCCGCAAGCCGCATGCAGCAAGGCTTCTTGCGGCTAGTGGATACCCCTGCGGTTCCCACGGGCTGCAGCATTCTTTAACATCTTGCAGCTTTTGCACATCATCATGAGCATGAGCATGCAGCTTGCAAGGAGCTCTTTCGTCTTTCTGCATTGAATAGATTAGGCTTTAAACGACCCTCTCACGTTGCAAGCTTCCATGCTCCACTATGCATGCATTTTTTGCTGTCGAAGCTGGTGGCACATCGCACAACATGTTGAATAGCCCCATGGCCAGACAGCAGCCTGAAGTCGTTTGGTCCGGCAGAAGACAAGTCGCAAGTCACAAGTCTGCATCATACTGAATCATACTCGTACTGTATCCTTGTTTAGTGATGCGGAGCAGCCTTCTGCCGAATTCCAGTTAGTCCTCAGATCTTGAGATCTTCAGTTGTCAGCGTGGCATCAGAATGATTGCTGCGAGAACACAGCTGCTGCGAAGTACGCGAGTGGTGAAAGAAGCCAGATGGTGCCTGCGAGGTCGATTGGTGTGCATGCAGGAGCCCTTCGCAACGGAGCCCACCGAGCTCAGTCTTGCAAGTGGTGGCTCAAGTGCAAACGGGATCCATTGCAGCTTCCGACTCCCATTGGTGACCAGGCCTGGCATCGCCGCATGCCCTGCCCTGTGAGCCTCTGCCCGGTGTGGCATCGCCCCGCTGCTGAGGACCCGAAGATGGCTCTTTCCCGCGGCCTCCTTGTGCTCTCGGCGGGCGTGATGCATGCCATGGCCTGCGAGGGCAAAGTGTTCGACCAGGTCACGCGACGGTTGCTTCTTTTTGGTTTTGTCGCAGTTGTCCGGAACGTGAGAGTTCGCAGACGGTCTTGCCAGCACTTTGGACTGGAAATCCGAGGCGGCCTTCGAAGCGGGACTGCTTGGTGGCTCCATTGGTGGCATAGTCCTTGGCTTGCTGATGGTGATTTTTGCCTCGCTGCCCTTGTGCTGCGGTGTGCTCAAGCAGTACGGGAAGGAGTGAGCCTCGCTGTTGCTTTTCGGTTTGTCCAGTGTTGAGAGAGTGCTGAAAGCATGAGAAAGCAGTGGGACATGAAGTCACAAGAGCTGCTGCACAGGTCATTGCCGCCATCGCCATCATTTTAGGACTCGCCTCCCTGATCGTCCCGTTCTTGGGTTCCATGGGCGCGTGTGGACCCTTCGTCGATCACATTTGCGACGACCTTTGTCCGGGAGAAATCCAATGCAGTCAGTCTGACAGAGACAACTTGACCACCACATGCAATGCCCTGGGATTCTTGGTGGTTTACCTCGGAGCTTTTGGCTGGGCCGCATGCGTGCTGGGCATCGTCGCTGCCAGCCTGGGCTGCTGCGTCTGCTGTCAGTGCTGCAAGGCGAAGCTCGACGACGGGCCAAAGCAGGGCGGCCAGCCCACCGTGGTGGTTGGAGCCGTTCAGCAGGCTGGGACGGTCTGGGAGGGACCGCATTCGGTCTTGAGTCTTGTGTCTGTTTGAGACGTGCGTCGCGGAATGCTGCTCAGGGATGATGCGGCATGCGAAGCAGTAATTGTGCGGCGACATAGAAGCCGGGAGCTGCTGTAGAGGCAAGGGACGGCAAGGGGACATGCTTGCAGATACATCAAGCTGAAATTTCCACCGCCAGGTCTGCATGGCAATCGGGCGTAGAAACACACGAGACAAGTTGAATCTACGTCTCCGACGTGTGCAAACTTATGGCCGCAAGCCGCATGCAGCAAGGCTTCTTGCGGCTAGTGGATACCCCTGCGGTTCCCACGGGCTGCAGCATTCTTTAACATCTTGCAGCTTTTGCACATCATCATGAGCATGAGCATGCAGCTTGCAAGGAGCTCTTTCGTCTTTCTGCATTGAATAGATTAGGCTTTAAACGACCCTCTCACGTTGCAAGCTTCCATGCTCCACTATGCATGCATTTTTTGCTGTCGAAGCTGGTGGCACATCGCACAACATGTTGAATAGCCCCATGGCCAGACAGCAGCCTGAAGTCGTTTGGTCCGGCAGAAGACAAGTCGCAAGTCACAAGTCTGCATCATACTGAATCATACTCGTACTGTATCCTTGTTTAGTGATGCGGAGCAGCCTTCTGCCGAATTCCAGTTAGTCCTCAGATCTTGAGATCTTCAGTTGTCAGCGTGGCATCAGAATGATTGCTGCGAGAACACAGCTGCTGCGAAGTACGCGAGTGGTGAAAGAAGCCAGATGGTGCCTGCGAGGTCGATTGGTGTGCATGCAGGAGCCCTTCGCAACGGAGCCCACCGAGCTCAGTCTTGCAAGTGGTGGCTCAAGTGCAAACGGGATCCATTGCAGCTTCCGACTCCCATTGGTGACCAGGCCTGGCATCGCCGCATGCCCTGCCCTGTGAGCCTCTGCCCGGTGTGGCATCGCCCCGCTGCTGAGGACCCGAAGATGGCTCTTTCCCGCGGCCTCCTTGTGCTCTCGGCGGGCGTGATGCATGCCATGGCCTGCGAGGGCAAAGAGTTCGACCAGGTCACGCGACGGTTGCTTCTTTTTGGTTTTGTCGCAGTTGTCCGGAACGTGAGAGTTCGCAGACGGTCTTGCCAGCACTTTGGACTGGAAATCCGAGGCGGCCTTCGAAGCGGGACTGCTTGGTGGCTCCATTGGTGGCATAGTCCTTGGCTTGCTGATGGTGATTATTGCCTCGCTGCCCTTGTGCTGCGGTGTGCTCAAGCAGTACGGGAAGGAGTGAGCCTCGCTGTTGCTTTTCGGTTTGTCCAGTGTTGAGAGAGTGCTGAAAGCATGAGAAAGCAGTGGGACATGAAGTCACAAGAGCTGCTGCACAGGTCATTGCCGCCATCGCCATCGTTTTGGGACTCGCCTCCCTGATCGTCCCGTTCTTGGGTTCCATGGGCGCTTGCGGACCCTTCGTCGATCACATTTGCGACGACCTTTGTCCGGGAGAAATCCAATGCAGCCAGTATGACAGGGACGCCTTGACCACCACATGCAATGCCCTGGGATTCTTTGTGGTTTACATCGGAGCTTTTGGCTGGGCCGCATGCGTGCTGGGCATCGTCGCTGCCAGCCTGGGCTGCTGTGTCTGCTGCCAGTGCTGCAACGCGAAGCTCGACGACGGGCCGAAACCGGGCCAGCCCGGCCAGCCCACCGTGGTGGTTGGAGCCGTTCAGCAGGCTGGGACGGTCTTCAAAAGCATGGAGACTTAGCTTCGTGTTGGAAGTGTCATGTCTTCCCAGGCATGATGTCGCACTGGCACGGCTCTGGAAAGCAATGCAGCGAAGGCTGGGCACAGTGCTAGTTGCTAGGCTTGTGCAGCCTGTCCAGACTGTTCCAAAGTTTTACAGGCCTTCCCGTTGGGGGATGAGCCAAAGAGCCGGCGCATGTGCTTGAAGGTCACTGACTGGTCGATGGAACGAGCTGAAAGACAGATCAATGTCCGAACTGCACATGCTCCGGCTTGCACGCAAAGTCTGTCAAATCTGGCGTCACATCACAAGATGTTGAAGAGCCACGGCAGTCTAACGCCTTGGGTCCGGCAGCAGTCAAGTCCAATAATTATTCGGATCATGTCGAGACAGCCTGCTGCTGAACTCTTGTTCATGTGTTGAGCATCTGCACTTGCATGTGACATCGAGACGATTGTCGCGGACTGGTTGAGAAGAAAGCTCTGCATCGGAAAACCGGTGTTCAATCGCTCGCTGACCAGAGTGCTGTTCCACAATCAATGCCGCGGGAGCCATCACGGCCTATGCGCTGTTTCTGGACTTCTTTAGGCGACAGTGTGACCCACGGCACACGGCAAACGACTTCACAGTGCTCTGCACCGGAGCCAACAAAGGCCCCTCAGAGAGGCTGAAAGAAACCCCCCCCCACAGCACATCAACTCGAGGCAGCCGGCTCGGGCGGCCGAGCATCGGCTTTCCAATCTCAGAAGATCTGTGGCTCGAGCCATGGCTTCAAGCATGGGCTCCTCCTGGAAGGCGGGCGCGGTTTTTCCACGCCGTGACGCGCGCGCAGTGGAAAGAAAGCTTGCGGTGTCAGGCATTGGCAGGGATTCTCCTGGTCATGGTGCCGGCCTCGACTTCCCATTCAGTTTTTTTCCTAAGTCCTGGACTTCGAGGTTGGCTTGGCCATAGCCGACGCGCAGGCGGAGGCCATGGCGGAGCATCTTAGGACCAGTACATGGGAGTTTCCGAGAATAGGGGACCCTAATATAGTGGTACCACTTATTCTCGGAAACTCCCAGACATGACCCCCAAGAGGTGATGAAAAGAGTGACGTGCAGGCCGAACTCGTCGGGCCCAGCGACGAGGAGCCGAAGCTGCAGGGGCCCGGAACTCCGGAGGGAGTCGCGAGAGTAGCAGAGCAGGAGATCATGGCTCTCTTCCATCCCTCCATTGCTCCTTGGCTGCAGACTTGCTGCGGCTGGTTCTGGTGCTAGTACGGGCGCAACTCAGCAGTAGACAGGCACACGGATAATCAACCGTCTTGGTAAGTCTTATTGGTAGGTGTCTCAGCTCGCAGGTGTGTGCCACATTAATCGTAGAATCGTAGCATTTCTCAAGGCCTTGGCGATGGGCAGGCGCGGACCTTCGGACTCATGTTGCTCTTAGCGAGCACTGCCTCCCCTGTCGCCAGGCTGGCAGCCTATTCATACTGCGGGACCGTCCTGGGACTCCACCAAACCCTAAACCTCAAACCCCATATCCTCGACCCTAGCAAAAACCCTAAACCTTGTCTTTCAGACTCCCGGAAGGAACAAGCTGGAGGCGGCGCGGGTGGAGCAGTGTCCTGCTTGTGACCGTGCGGGCTTTGAGGCCAGGCTTCCGCTTGCTACGCGGCCGTGCGTGGAATCTGCTATGCTTGGAGGTGGTGAAGGGCTCCGTGGAGAAGCTGTTTGTGCCGTTCCTCGGTGAAGGCTTTCGCGTTTTTGGGGACCTCAGAGCATCCTTGGACCTCAACCTCAGAGCATTTTTTCCTGGACGTGAAAGTGGAAAGTGCCTGAAACTCCGAGGTTCCACGGAGATCCCGAGGCCTGGCGGTGCCCATGGAGAAACGCCACAACAACATTGAATTCTTTGTGCCCTCGGAGCCCAGATTTCAGCATTCAGCGCAGAAGGGTTGGCGATCGCGCTCAAAGCTTCGTGGGGCGTGCCCACTTGCCCCGATCAATAGTTAGCATTATAAGAATCTTACGGCCACAGACTGGGTCAGCGTTTGGAATTTTGTTTTGCAGTTATTTTGCATTATTTTTGCATTTGCTGTTTGCATTTTTTGTGTGTTGCGTTTTTTTTTGCATTTGCTGTTTGCGTTTCTTTTGTGTTTGCTGCCCTGTCTGAATTTAGCGTTGCGTTTTTTTTGCATTTGCTTGGGCTGAGGCGGCCGGGGCCCGGCAAAATGCGAAAAGAAGGCACGCCTAAATCCTGAGGACGACCAAAATGCAGCAAAAAATGCAATCCTGGAAGCCGCGGCCGGCCAAAATGCAAAAACAACGCAAACCTGGAAACAGAGCCCGGCCAAAACGCAAAAAAACAATGCAAAAAAATGCAAAAGCTTGCGGCCATTGCCGAAACCATTAAAAAAGTGGAACATTGGCAGTTTCCTGGAGCATTTGCATTTTTTTTGCATTATGTTTGCGTTTTTTTTTTGCTTTTTTTTTTTCATTTTTTGCGTTTTTTTGCAAAAAAAAACGCAACGCTAAATTCAGACAGGGCAGCAAACACAAAAGAAACGCACACAGCAAATTCAAAAAAAACACATCAACAAATGCAAACAGCAAATGCAAAACAAATGCAAAGTTAATGGTGCATATCAGGGTTGGTTTTCGCTTTTTGGGGTGGACCAGCTGTAGCCCGCAAAGATTCTTATAAAGTTAGCACGAATGCTCCAGGCGAACTTTTTCATTCTGGGTCAGTTTGTCCGCACCAACGACGACGCGAAGGCAGACGTTCGTCAGCCTGTGTTTAGGCTTGTGGCAAAGCCTGTCGCAGGATGTGCCTTCCAAAGGATGCTTCGTCGTTACTCGCGGGAGCTCGAACAAGGCTAACTGGGTATCGAATTTTCAGATGGCCCTTCGCCTCAGAGTTGGGACGCATGGAGACCTCTGATGACGCACGTGTCACGTCGATGTGAGCAGAATGGGTAGCAGCGGCTGCATGCACACTGGCTAAGCTTCTGTTGGCTGTGTCGCGACTGGCTACCGAGGGAATGATGGATCCGGAGTGGTCACAATGCCCAGACTGCCGCTTACACAAAGGCACACCTCCCAGTGGGTCCCGTTCCGAATCTCCAGACACTTGTACAAGTTGTCCGGAGAGCACAGCCTTCCTGCAACGTCAGGAGGAATCTGGAATGACTGAATAATTATTCCCGCAACAGACTCTTGCAGGCTATTTTGGCGTCTATGATCGTGCTCTGCCTGGTATCCAGAAGTATCTTGAATCTTGGCATATACCAAAGGATACCACAGGGCTGGCGAGTACCTGGCACTCGCAGAATCTGGCAGACATCAGTTGTGAAACGTGTGTGTGTG